AGTACCATGACCTTCCCGCTTCTTGGAGGCAACATCCAGATCGAGATCATCCTGCTCGCCATCCGGAACCGGGGGGAGCTTCGCTGGCGGCGCCTTCCCCGCCAGTCCTGCCGAGGCCATCTGAGCTCCTGTAAATACGGGGGGGTGTTCGCCTTTCTGCTTTGGGACGTAGGGAGGCCCCCACACGCCCAGGCTCAGTTGCACGTTCGGCCCAGACGGTTGCCCTGGACCACGCATGCACTGTTCGTACTCTCGATAAACCTTCGGCGGCAGCTGAAGTCGTGGAAGTCGTGGAGGGTCAGCGGTAGCAGCGACAGCAAGGGCGGCGGCACACGACAATGCCCACAAGGGGAGCGAGCGGAGAGTCACGGACGGGGGGCTCTCTTGAGGTCTTGAGCCTTGAGCCTTCTACGGTTCAGGGCCTAGGGTTTATGTACCGTTTCTGAAACTTTAAAGATATCCTTCCAAAGCCTTCTGGGCCCTATAGCCTCCAAGTTCGTCCGCGCGGCTTCGGAGGCTTTGGCGAGTAGGCAGTCTTTGCCAGAGGCTGGCAGTGCACACATATGAGGGCGCGAGCATGGCTTGAGCCGCAGGACAAAAAGGTTCCCAAAGACTGCAGAGGTCATATCCTCAAATCAGACTAGGCATCTCTGATGGTGGAGCTGTAAGGTAAATTGTCAAAAAAGGTTCCCCAAAACTGCAAAGGTCATATCCTCAAATCAGACTAGGGATCTTTGATGGTGGAGCTGTAAGGTAGGTTGTCATTGCAGCATTGCAGTGTCGGAGTTTGCCCGTGCTGAGATCTCAATGATTGCAAACAAGTACACGCTGCATCTGGCTTGGGCTCTGCGTGGCTGCTGAGCCAAGATGAAACTGCTGAAGACGTGGGCAGTCGCACGAGCAAACAGCGTGTCTATCTCTCGTGAGACTTTCTGTGAGCACTGCGCCAAGCAACGTGGTCCAACATGCCAGGAAAAATCTTGACCCTACAACGTGCTGAGACCCGCGGACGTCGAAAGGTGCCAGTAGGGGAGAGTTCAACCCTAGCACTATGATGACTATGATTACAATTAAAACTATTACTCTAATAGTTATTGATACCATTCTGGCACATGTTTCTAGCCTTGCTACTGATACCATTATTACTATTGCGATTCTGTATTGCCGTCAGAGCCTCCCCCCTCCACCGTAACCTTGAGGCTCCGACTCGCAAAGGAACCAAACCAGGGACGGGAGCACAAGGACCTCCCAAAGAGCGCTAAGGCAGGGGCATTACGCTTGGACTAGGATTCCTTTTAGAATAGGTCTTGGGACATATTATACTATAGCTCTAATAAGGAACCCTAGGAATAACATTGGTGGTTACTCAGGCCCCTGTAGTAAGGGCATGTGCTTCCTCTAAGAGCTACTGTTGGGGTACTTCGGGGTGTAGGGTTTAAATTTCCCTTAATCACGGGCTCCTATTGTAGTAGAATAGAGTTTTCGGCTTAGGATTTAGGGGTTTAGGGGTTCAGGGTTTATGGGTTGAGGATTTTGGGGTAGGCGGCCCTAGGGAACACACCACCCATAACCCAATCGGAGCCTAAAGCCACCATATAGGCCCTAAACCCTGAACCCTAAAGCCTTATAAGGGATAGGGCCCGATTACACTCGGTGCTGCCTGTGTTGCCGAAAAACAAACCTGGATCACAGGCAACGGAATATTAGGGCTTAGGGTGTAGGGCTTAGGGTGTAGGGCTTAGGGTTTAGGGTTTAGGGTTTAGGAGATGTGTTCGCGGTTGCGCCCTCTTCCTTACAACCAATGCTTTCACCACGCCTGTCTGGCAGGAGAATCTGCTTCCTGTGATGGCCTGACATCGTGTGCCACAGGACAAAGAACACCAATAGCGGTCATGACCAGTGACTCACAGTCTAGGACAAGAAGCACGAATGCTGCTGGGGCAGGCTCTGTACAGCCACGGAGCTTGCCGAGCCTTGCGGATGCAACATTCGAAACTTGCCAGGTGCAATGCACGTCATGTGTGTGTGTGTGTGCGACTTCGTTCATGCGGATCAGTGTCAGTGGTTGTTTTGAGTTCAGGCGTTGTCTTGTGTCCTGAGCTCCATCGAAACATTGCACAAAGCATAGGCTTTCGCTACAGGAGGTGGGTCGAATTGAAGCTTCTCTTCTTCAGCTGAACTGAGGGTGAAATGGCATTACAGCTAGACTCCATCGCAAGTTTGTTCTAGCCAGTGCAGAGAAGATGATCATAGGTCCTGATCTAGAATCTAGACCCAGGCCTTGTTTTCACCTGCTTATCCTACACACCCGTCAGGCCGACACGGAAGAACTCGGCACACTCAACCCGGCCATGCTTGGCAAAAAGCACGCGCGCAAAGCCCGTGCAAAGTGGCAAGGGTTTAGGGTTTAGGGACCTTAAACCCTATAAACCCAGATTGCAGAGCCCAAGGCCTGGACTTAAGGTGATTCCTGCTCGTATGGGCTATCATTGCCATTGTTAATTGTTACATCGTTGTTGATGCAGCTCCTGTTCCGGCGGCACACTGGCATCATCGGCACCACTTGGAGGATCATGGGACTTAGTAAGTGGGGTTATAAATACGGTAACTATACTTATACCTATAACCCAATTTTAAGTACTTAGAACCTTACTTATTAAGTCCCATAATCCTCCAAGCACCCTCATCATGGTCATCAGTTTTAGTGCTGCCAGTGTTGCACTGAAATAGGAACCCTAAGCGAGTCGATCGTCATGTGGAATGGCCTGCATCAGCCTTCGCGGGCATCTCTCAGCCCACATCCGCGCAGATGGATGTGGAGCTTAGCCCGGCAAGCAGTTCTGAGTTGCAGGGTTGCGTGCTCTTGTGGAGTTTTCGCTTTAGGAGCTTTGGGTTTGGTGGCTGTAGGGGTCGAGGGGTTCACGTCTCCGACGCTGGGCTAGGTGCAAGTAGCTGAATTGAAACACACATGTTGGGCCTGCGTATAAGGTACGTTTATGTGCCAGGCAGGTCGCAACAGGGGTTTAAGGGCTTGATCCGGTGCTACCCCGAAGAGTCTATGTTTGGGTTCTCATGTTGGGCTCCGGTTGAAATTGTTTTTGGCGTTTTGCGCATTTGTCTTGGGCTGCTCGTGCCGTGAGATGGAGCCATGGAACCAAGAAGGCGCGTGGCAACCTCAAACGGGCTCAGGGCTACTGTAAGGGTCTTTGAAAATGGGAGATGTTTTAGGAATGTTGTAGTCTATCTTGCGTATTGGCAGCTATTTTGGCTTCTACACTCTCATTAATTACACACTTTGGGGTATGTTCGGTTGGTTCAAGGTTCAAGGAACCCAGACCTTCCAAAATCCCTTAATTAAGGAATTTACCTTAAATTATAATAGGATCCCCAATATGAATTCAGGTATATTCCTTAATTAAGGGATTTTGGAAGGTCTGGGAAAATGGCTCAAGGATCGAAGCTTGCCGCCACTGAGGGATTGGGATGCAGCAAGCCAGGGAGTCACCGACTCAGGATGGCAAGCTTAGGGGCTGAGTACGCTAGTCCAAAAAAAGGTTAACCTTTGCAAGTATGGTAGGATTATATACCTGCTCAGCTACCAAGGCGAAAGCCTTCGAAGTCCGGGGCCTGGAATGGCAGCAAAGATGCAGAACACCGACGTTTTGCGACAAGCCGGATGTCTTGCAAAGGCAACCGAGTGAATGTACAACCTCGTGGTCAGGGTGGCCACTGTTCCCGTTGTCAACTTTTGATGGCTTAGCTCAACAGTGGCACCCGGCATGCGAGGGCCTACGACCGACGCACCTTTCATCAGACCGTCAACCACAACTCTAATTCCCAGACCTTCCAAAATCCCTTAATTAAGGATTGTACTTTAAATTATAATAGGACCCCTAATATGAATTAAGGTATACTCCTTAATTAAGGGATTTTGGAAGGTCTGGGTTCAAATCGGTGCTTCAGTCCTGCAAGGATGCACGTGATGTAGGAGCTTAGCGGTTCCGGGCTCCTTATAATGTAACTATATTCTACGACTATTCAGTGGTTTTGGGGGTTCCCTTGGCTCTTTAGCTCCTTATTTAATAGGGGTTATCATCATCCCTGGCTCCTTAGCTCCCGTAATATCAATGGTTAGACGATACCCCGAAACCTTTTTCGATTTCTCCGAGGCCCCTTCTTTCTGCAAAGCCTGGGTCTGGCTTTCGGGTGTCTGTTTCATGTTTCAGGCAGAAGCCCCAAACCCTACTTGGAGGATCCTGGGACTTAGTAAGTAGGGTTACAAGTGCCTTAATTGGGGGGGTATAAGTACTTATGTGTAAGTATAGTTGCCATATCTATAGCCCCGCTTACTAAGTCCCATGAACCTTTAAGTAGATCCCTCAACTCTGAGCCCTAGACCCCCAAAACCCCTAAACCCTGAGCTACTAGGCTGGGCCCGAGAAAGCTGCGTCGGCAGGCAAAGCATTTGCCATGAGATCGCGAGTCTCACACAAGCCTCGGCCAGTGGAAAGAGGGGGGGGGGTTGGAGTGTAGGAATATATATATATATATAGATAGATAGATAGATATTCACATATAGAATGTATATACATATACCTCTGTGTATGTAAATATATATATATATATATATATATATATGTGAATTATATATATATATATATATATATATATATATAGAGGCTTTTTAGGCCATCTTAGCGTCTAGAGTCTAGGGTTGCTATACAGGTTGTCGTGGCTTAGGGTCAGGGTTACCTGCAAGTCGTGGCACTTATGTTGCCAAGCTCTCACAAGACGACAAAGCATGCCGGTTTAGGGTTTGGCGTGCAGAAGCAAGACAGACGAAGTGGAGCTTGATGATTATATGGCTTCCCAGAACAACCTGTGCACCTCAGGAGTCATGTACACACTCACCAGCTCCCTGATATAAACCCTACTTTATACTACGTAGCATGAAGCTTGCAAGACTCTGGGTCCGCCGCCGTGGGTGGGCGCAGCTTCGGCTAGTGCGCCAAACTCGGCGAAAGCACGGCTTAGGGTTTGGGGTTCAGGGCAGCTCCGACGACCACTAATTAATCCTGCCGTACTGCTATTAGCACACAATTACCTACCATTGCTGAGATTTCCAGCTGTCCCTGCCCTACCTAGCCTTCCAAATATTAAACTCCTGCAGCCCTGAACCTCCAACCCCTCTAAACCCCCTGAAACCGTGTAGAACCTTTATAAGACCCTCTGAGAGTCCCGAAAGCACAGCTTTTAACAAGGAGGCAACCCTGAACCCTAACCCTAAACCCCTACGGGTAATTCTCTAAATTTAGGGTGCCTTTTAGGATCCTTGTCACCAGGGTGCCGTGCTATTTCAGGGACTTAAAGCAGGACACTACTCCAGGCAACCCGAAAACCTGAACCACTAAACCCCAAATCCCTAAACCCTACATCCCTAAACCCCTAAACCCCAAATCCCTAAACCCTAAACCCCTCAGCCCTAAATCCCGAAACCCCTCAACCTTAAAATCCTAAACCCCTCTTATGGACAAAAGCATGCCGGGGCCCGGACCCTTTCGCCATCGCGGCCAATCGAGCGTCGCCGTATCCCGAATCCTCGATACCGGGTTCCACAAGGGTGGCATAAGGTTTAGGGTTTAGGGGGTTTGGGGTTTAGGGATTTAGGGTTTACGGATTTGGGGTTTAGGGTCTAGGGGGGGTTCATGACTTTGGAGAAAGACTTTGAAGAGGTGGTTCAAGAACCTTCAACTGCCGAAACAAAGATCAGGCTGTAGGGTTTAGGGCTTGCTTAGCGGATCCGGGGACTTAGTTAGTAAATAGGTGTACGTAAGTGAATTAATCATGGTTATTTACACTCAGAACACGAAGGTGTTCATGCCACTATTTACTAACTCCAAGTACCCTTCATGTAGACCTTCAACTTCCGTCAAATCAACCCTAAACCCTCAACACCCTCAGGAGTCCCTGGCAGGGCCTGGGTATGCTCATTCATTGCGGCTGGGTGGCGAGGGATTTAGGGTTTAGGGGTTTGGCTGGTGGAGGTGTGAACTGCCGAGCCAAGAAGACAAAGAGATACAGACTATGTATACACCTCGAAACCATCTGTTGTGTGTATACTCTTTGTCGAGACAAACCTGGCACATACACACACATATATATATATAGTATACACATACATATACATATATACATATACATACATGTATATACATATATATATATATACATACAAGTGTACACACACAAACAAACAAACATACCTACATACATACAATGACATGTACACATGGCAAGCACGTGGGAACCTGTTTGTTGCAGACGCCCGCAGCGATCATACTGTTGCAGCAGCCCTACTACTAGGTGCTGCTACCGGCCCTGAACCCTACGCCTACACCTTCAAAACCAATATCAGCTTCCCGTATATCCCTCGGTCCCGCGTGCGCTGAACGATGGGCTTCAGCTGTCGCACCCGCTCCTGCACTTGGTGCATCGATTAAGACCCTGAACCCTAAGCTCAAACCCCAAGGCCAACTACAGCACCCTAAACCCAGAACCCTAAACGACAAATTCCCCAAACCCTAAACTCGCAACCCCCAAACTCCACTTTCCCTTAGCCCTGAACTGCACAACTTTTGTGATTGCCCAGAGGTGGAGTCTTTCGTGGGGAGCATGAGTCCTTACGACGAAACACCACGGAAAGTCACCGAAACCCTAAACCCCACACCCCGGAACCCCTAATAAGTCTAAACCCCTAAACCTTGAAACCCTCAACGCAACAACTCTAAACTTCCCTGCTTTGACTGAGTGGCTCGGATTAGGTTGACAGCTGAGAGCTCAGCTACAGAGCAGCTTCTAATTGTGGAGGAACTCCTATAGGGTCAGGGTTTAACGTCCAAGTCCGTCTTGGCCTGGGTGCTGCAGTGTAAGTCACTGTCGCGCCCTACACTCCAGACACAATAAGCCCCGAAAGCATTTTTACCCTCTCACCCTAACCTAACTTACCGTTGGTTAGTAGGGAATGGAGGAATGGGGGTACAATTATAACTACTATTACTACCATTCTCCCATTCCCTACGAACCAGAGGTAAGCTAAAGCTCGCATGCCTCAGACCCTCCCTGCCCACGCCCTAAACCCGTACTTGCGCAGGGCCTGGGGGAACTATGTAAAGCTTCGCCTTTCTGGGGAGAATGCGACCCCAATGAGGTTACTTGGAGGGTCGGGGGACTTAGTAAGTAGATAGCAAGTAGACTTATAAGTACCCTAAAAGGGACCCTAATTGGGGTTATGGTACTTATAAGTCCCTAAAATAACCAGTTACTAAGTCCCCCGACCCTCCAAGTAACGGTTACCTGGACACCTACTTGGCGACTGTGGGGCCCCACCCTGCCTTCATAAAGTAGGGTTTAGGGTTTAGGGTTTAGGGTTTAGGGGTTTGAAGCCAGAAAGTTGGAATATGATTATCCTAAGCCCTTTATGGTAAATTATATAAGGTATCCTACCCTGAAACCATATTCCAACTTTCTGGAGTTCCCTTTAAAACCTAGCCCAAACGCTACATTCTCAGCTCTCCCCAACCAGTCCTGGAACTGCAAGAAGTCTTCGTTCCTGGTGGCCCAGGCTCCAAACACACCACCCCCCACTCCCGCACGGACCCTCAAAGTGTCCACAACTCCAAAGCAAAGGGTTTAGGGCTTAGAGATTCTTTGCGGCGAAAAGTTTCGGGTGGTTGCGGAGCGCTGAGAACAAACAGCCGTGACAGCCCGCATGGCGGCCCGACGAGCAGATTGATGTTGCCCATTTTCAAGACAGGCGTCTGCCGATGAACCCCTAAAATCTAAAGCCTAAATCCTTCAACCCCAAAGCTCACAACAAGTCTGGACTCCCTCAGATCAACAGGATTACCGAAAAGAAGGGACCCGATTGTTGAGTAACATCCTGCAACGGAGCCCCTCATTTTCTGTAAACCCCTGTATAGGTAATATAGGGGCCGTTATAAACAGAATGGTGTTTTCTCGTGCTGGAAACTGTAATTACACTGACTGATAAAAAGAGGAGCCCTTTAGGAACCCCATTCTAATCATAAAGGCTTCTGTAAACCCGAAACCCTTCCTTGTCCAGTATCCTAGGGGTTGACCTTGGGGATTGTAGATCCTAGTACACCCAAAAGCTTAAAGATAAACTCTAAGCCTCACAGCTATACTGAACTTAGAACCCTAGCAAAAATTATAATTTTAGCTGTTTCTTAGGGATTGTAATAACCAACAATTAAAAAACTATTTCTAAGTACCCCTAAGTAAACCCCTTTCCTATCTTCCGGATTCCTCGGCTGCGCGACGGTGCGGTCCGCAGCGAAGACGCTGACCGTGCCCTGTGGCTTCGAAGCTCAGGAAGACTTCTTCCCAGAGATGCCAATAACCCGTAAGGAAGGAATATACCTTAAACTACGAGGGGGTTCATATTATGAATCTAAGCTATATTCCTTAAGTATGGGGTATGGGGCTCTCTGGGTTCTAGGAGTTTAGAAGGGTCCTTTACGAGTGATTCATTGTCTTGTAAGGGGTTTGCATAGTTTGATACTCTGACATTCCACGCGTGGTGGCAACGCTGTGCCCAACCATACGACTTCAAGAGTGCGTAACTCGGACACGATGCTCGCCAGGGTTCGAAACCTTCGCTCAAGTTCATTGAGCCTCGTAGCCTCGTGCTTTCATAAGGTACCGTTGAAACGTTAACCTCGTTCTTTTGATGAGCCAACCGTTGCCTTACACCGTTCAGACGTGGGTGGTTGTCAAAATGATGGTCCCTTTTTGGGTCCTTGATATAATACGGCACCTATTATCTAGGGTACCCCAAAAAAGGGCCCTAATTTTGACAACTACCCACGTATCAAGCTCCGAAACTTCGAATCCATAACGCCCATCGCTCCGAGAACCCCCCCCCCCCCCCCACCACCACCCCTAAAAAAAAAGCACCTAAACATAGGTAAACCTTCAACCCTTAACCTCAAGACTTCAAACTCCAAACAAAAGCTTAAGCCCTAAATGCTTTCCCCCCCCCCCTATAAGCTCTCTGCAGAACCGAAGACGGAGTTCCTCATCAAACCCGTCGCTAGACAAAACCGGAAACCCTAATATAGGGGCCTCAATAATTAGAATCGGGTTTTCGGGCCCATGATACTAGAATGATAGTAAGGAACCCCCCAAAATAGTACCGGTAATTATTAAGGCCCCCATCTTAAAACCTCCATCAACAAAAATTAGAAGAATCGGAGGGCCTCACTGTCCCCTGCTGCGAGCTTCCGCCCATCGCTGGACCAGTGGCATTTGTTCAATGCCAGCCTGGCATCTTTGAGTTAGGGATTGGTTGGGGGGGTTCTGGGTTGAGGGGTTCCGGTCAGTAGGGGGCTTTGGGGTTTGGCTCGAGCCTTAAGTCCTGAGGTTTGACATGTAGGGCCAGGCTGCAGGAGCTGAACAAGCTTGGTTCAGATTTTGTGGTCTCAAGGCTTAGCCATTTCTCATATCTACTGGGCTCGGAGCTTACCGCTTGAACATGTGACCCATGGACTCAGGTTGCGTTGGTTGCTAGCCGCAGCAGGAAGCAGACCCATTTCGATGAGGGTCCGAGGTTTGGGTCAGGTGGAGGAGGGTCCTGAGCACGCTGCAGTTGATGCTTGTGCTCAGGTCGATGCCGATTATGCTGATCTTCACAAAAACATGACCCATCGTATGGTGATACCGTTCGCAACCGTGAGCTGGTGATGTAACCTGTGCCATGCCAATGACGATACAACAAGACCAGGCAAACAACGACGGCGGTGACGACGATGACGACGGCCATGATGAAGAAGAGGGGTGATATGACGATGATCATCATGGTAGTCAGGGTGATCATGAACACTTATTGTTGACTGTAAAGTTCATACTGCTGCTGGTCCTGCTGCTGATGATGATGGTGATCCAGGGGTGGGGGGGCGATTACGAGGAGTCGTCCTGGGGATAACAATGATGGCGATAGTGATGATGATAGTGGCGATTGATGACGGTGACGACAGGTGGACGACGACGACGATGACAAGGGCAATGAAGATAATGATCACCACGAGCATTGTGGAGTGATTTGTCATCGTCACGACCATGGCGATGCGGATGAGTTTGTCGGCATTATGTTTATGAAAAGGACATGTGATGATGTGACGATGAAGGTGTTGTATTACGATGAATATGGTGAGCATAAGAAGGTGATGATGATGTTGATGATGAAGTAGATGACGGTGGTGATGATGCAGAAGGAGATGACGATGAGGATGCTGCTGCCGGTGGCAATAGTGCAAACGAAAATTATGAAGGCGATGATGATGGTGGTGGTCCAGTGGTGGTGGCGATGATGACGGTGGTGGTGATGATGGCCGTGGTGATCTGGATGTCGATGAGGATAGGGATGAGCAGGGGATTCGGGATTGTGATAACGACGGTGGCAGCGGGCCACGGTGGTGGTGCTGGCGATGGTGATGGCAAAGCACGAAGCTGGATCAGGCACTACACTACCCTAAAACCTAAACCCTAAACCGGTAGTCACTACACCCTAAACCCAGAAAGCTCCGGAACCTCCGTCCATTGGGGTTCTCACATCGTAGAACCGGCAGCCTCAGGCACTTGCAACATCGTGGACAGCACCCCTACCGAGTCCTCGTAACTATCCACCTATCATTACGGTTGATGGTATAAATCCTGCATTACCTGAATGGCCCAAGACTCTGGGAACAATCGTATATTCTTTAGTATGTGTCATATACCAGTATTCCCATAGTTTAGGGCACTTAAGATACTGCAGTCAACTGTAGGACCCTATCCGAGGCAGCGGCTCGATGTTCTTATTCAGATTCCAAAGATCGATGTGCCTGGGGTCGTGTGGGGTTAGGGTTTGGGGATCAGGGTTTAGGGTTTAGGGTTCAGGGTTTAGGGGTTTAGGATTTAGGGGTTTAGGGGTTTAGGGGGTTAGGGTTTAAGGGTTAGGGGTTAGGGTTTAAGGGTTTTCGGTTGAAGGGCTTTCGAGGGTAGGGTGAAGGGTTGCGTCCTCAACTTCGGAGCATCTTGTTGTAGGATTAGCGATGAGCGGATTTCTTCGGGCTCAGGTGCATCTTTGAGGGTTTAGAGGGCTCTGTATCAAAAGATGTTCAGAAGGATCTCAGGGGTTGTAGGATCTGGCGGCTTAGGGGGTGCAGGATGGTTTTGGGGATAGGATTCAAGATAGGGGGGGGTGTTTCAGGAAATGTGACGGTTTGCCAGGTTGGTTGCCAGCTGTGCTTCGAGAAGCTTTGAGTGGATAGGGATTTCAAGGATGTGTGGTATAGAATTTGCAATTTGAGGTGTAGAGGCTGTTGGCAGTCGAGAGCCGCATACTGCGCAAATGAAGAATGAACCTGATATGTGTTACACGGCTCCCGACCTTGATCTACATAACTTGCAGTGACCGAATCCTAGGGCCCCCGAGCCCTACAACCCAAGCCGCTGTAGCTCGCTCTTAGCCATCTTTCGGATTTCGAAAAGGGTTTGGTAGACACTCCTCACAGGACCTGTAAGCCTAAACCCTGAACCCCTAAACCACTAAACCCTAAACCCCTCAACCCTATAGATCCCTTGAAAGAAACCCTCATGGATCCCTTTAAAGGAACCCTGAACCCTAAGGTACCCTAAAAAGAGAGCTCTTGGCGAGCTGCCCTTCGCCATCCGTGGAGGCGAAAACCGCCGGATGCGTGGGATGCCATCTCACATCGTAGACCTGGTTTAGTGCTTTCGGGTTTTCTGGTTTAGGGCTTTAGGGTTTAGGGCATTAGGGTTTCGGGCTTTAGGGGTTTAGGTCTTTATTACGGCTTGTCAGCTGACAGGGTTACCTAGACCCCCCAACCATCCAGAGAGCCCAGTGGAATATACCTCAAATCATATCAGGGTTCCTATTCTAATCTAAGGTATATTTCTTAAAGAAGGGGTATTGGGATCTCTGGGTACACATTAGCCATCACATCGCAACAGACAGAGCGAGAGAGAGGGAGACAGAGGGCGAGCGAGAAAGCCGGAGAGGACGAGAAACTACAAATGCAGGGATCTTCGCGAGGTCGTTACTTAAAGGATCATGGGACTTAGTAAGTGGGGTTATAAACAAGGTAACTATACTTATAAGTACTTATAACCCCAATTAAGGCACTTATAACCTTACTTAGTAAGTCCCATTATCCTCCAAGTATGCATGTTCTGACCCGACAATGTCTGGACCTGACTATTACTAAATCCGATTATTACTATTCTCACTATTACTACTAATATTGCTGTTATTACTATTACAATTAATAACAAATACTACGTAACAATGTCTGGACCCGACAACTGCTTGCAGATGTGCGGCATAGTCCTCGAAAGTATCCAGGGAGAGGACCGGAGACTGGAATTGCTTGACCTGGGTTTTGGGTTTAGGGTTTAGGGTGTAGGGTTTAGGGGTAATTCAAGGTTTCAGGGTTTAGGGGTGACAGCTTTCTTTCTGCAGTTATGGCTGCGTATTGAGCGGTAACAGTCGTCGCCGTTATCGTAGCGGTAGTGGCGGTTGTAGTAGTAGCAGCAGTGCGAGCAGTCTTCATCGTTGTTGGCGAAGTCGTAGTGGTAGTGATGGTGGTGGCAGTAGTGCTTGTACAGGTGGTTTGGGTCATAGTGGTGGTGATAGTGGTGCAAGCAGTAGCAGTGGCAGTAGTAGCGGTAGTAGCAGGCAATAGCAGTAGCAGTACCTGTAGCTGTAACAGTGGCAGCAGTAGCAGCAGTAGTAGTAGGAGGCGGAGTAGGAGAATGAGAAGGATTAGGAGGAGGTGTATACGTAAGACTAGTGGTAGTGAGGCGGGAGCGGGCGGGCAGGCAGGTAGATACTACTGTAGGGGTAGAGGCAAACGCAGTAGCAGTAGCCGTTGCAACGGCAGCAAGAGCAGGTGTGTACGTCACTGTCATCTTGACTAGTACTGATAAAGTCATTCTGTGTCGCTAGCTATTACAGCCAATAGTGTGACTAGTGCCAGGCCTGTTCTTAGTTCGACTTGTGTTGCTGTTATTGCTGTGATTGCTGCGGATGCGCGTGTCAGTTAGTGGTTGTGTCGCGGTCGCAACTGTTCGCGTTGTCATTGCTCTGCTTGCGCTTAAAAGCATCGCAGGGAAGTTTGCTGATTGGCATAATATAGGGGCTCTAGTAATTGCCTGTACTACTCTCTTTACTATAATTATAGTATGATATACCCCAAAGCCCTGTTCTAATTATCAAGGCCCCTATATTGCCGACACGTCCACGCACCAAGCTGCGGGCCCTCCAGAGCTTGATGCTCCAATCGAACGAGCTTGTCAAACACAAGTCCTGAGCAAAACAGGGCTACGACCCTGCTGCTTGCTTTTATCGTGTAGGGGCTGCAGCCCGAATACCTGCAGTACATCCTGAACTGCACTGGATTGAGTGACATTCGGGTGTCTGGAACCGGGAAACACATGCGCTTCCCCTCAGCTGTCCGTCGTGGTATCCGCAGAGATACCAGAGTCGCTTCCTTGATGAGGATGCATGTGGACCCCAGTTACAGGACCTGCCACGTGTGTTCAAGACTAGATTTATCCATGCTTTGGGCACACTACCTATCTCTACACTCTACTATAGAAGCCTCATGGGGCCCAAAACCCTATGCTACCGCTATCTCTAGATGCGACTGCTCTGATACTGGAACCCCTACAAAACAAAAACAAAAAAGGCGGTTCGGCCGTCGTGCCCATCGTAGAGCTCCGTGATCCCAGTCTGACCAGGCAGGAGGGTTTAGGGTTTAGGGTTTAGGGTTTAACCCTAAACCCTAAACCCTATTCACTGTCAATAGGAGTTAGGATTATGGGAATTTGGGGGGACACCCAGAGAGCCCAAGACCCCTTAATTAAGGAATATGGCTTCAAATATAATTAGGGGCCTTAATATTATGGTTTAAGGTATATTCCTTATTAACTAAGGGGTATTGGGCTCTCTGGGTATAGACCCTCTCAACAAGGTCCGCTTTCAGAGAGCCAGAAGTACAGGATTAAGAAGGGTCTGCTTGCAGAGGCCTCCCTAATACTACCCAGGAATCAAGGACAACTGAGAGAAGAGGCTCACAGGCACAACGTCAATGGCCACCTGCTCGGCTAAAAGCGAAAGTGTCTATGTGTTTTTTTGTTTTTGTATCAATACAGAGATATGTTTGGTATACTGTATATGTAGACGTAAACTCGTTTACGTCATTGTCTTGTAAGCTGCGATGTAAGGTTGGTGATCCGGTCCTATTCACAGGCTGCAGTTGCCTCTCCAAATACCTATGTGCTTTACCGAATGGAAGGTATTCTAGCAGTTGGCAATATCGGGCCTTACTAATTAGAATGGGATTTTGGCTTCTTTTTACTGTAATTATGACAAGGATCCCCAAGAATAACATTGGTAATGTTTTCGGCTTCTATACTACGATGCCCATCCTATGTAGCCACAACCTCCCCAAGCCACGAGCAGGGCGGCTAGAATCCTGATCGGTGTCGGTCTGCACAGAGGCTAACTGATAACCTACTGTAGCGGCCTTCATGATTAGAATAGGGTTTGGGGGGTTTCCTCGTCATAACTGTTGTATGATATACCCAAGAAGCCCTATTCTAATTATCAAGGCCCCTACATTAAGTGATAACCTCCCGACTAAGTCCCCCGATATTCGGACGTTAAATTGACACAGCCGGTCCATGGAAGGGAAGGAAGGCACCGGCCACTAGAGGCACGGCCTTATGTTCGAGGCCGTCGAGGTCATACTCAACCCCATATCTCCGTCATGAACACTACAGCTCTATACCCTGAACCCTAAACCTTATAAACCCTAAACCCTTAAACTCTAACCCTAAACCGCCCCGAAGGAATGAAGAACTCCGCCGTCAAGTAACTCTTGTAGTGAGTCGTAAAAATCACTCTTTCTAGAAGCCCCAAGAACAAGCCGCCTAGCACCTCGGTATGATGACTCTTCTAGCAGACCTGTACAGCGACCGTTGTAGCAATATTTACAGTATGACTTCTAAAAGACATTACAGTAACGTTTTAATGCACTAACGCCGCCTAAAGTAAGTCCAGCTTAAACGCCCGATATCCCTTACTCAAGTAACATACCAAAAGCTCGCAAGAGTGAGTCCTTTATGAGTTCAGGTCTATTCCTCAATTAAGGAGTATTCGGCTCTCTCGGAAGTACAAACCCTCAACCCTGAACCCTAACCTACTGTAGCGGCCATCATAATTAGAATAGGGTTTTGGGCTATATCATACTACTATTAAATTATAGTAAGAAACCCCGAAACCCTGTTCTAATTACCTAGGCCCCTACCTACAGTCTCCATTGTAGTCTCTTTTTTCGGTTACTCAATTTTATGGTTAGGATCCTATGATGGAGATTTTGGTTAATCAAACAAAGGAACCACAATGGGGACTATAGGTAGGGTTCCTGGAGGAGTTCACCCTAAACCCTACACCCTGGTTGGGCTAGAAACCGCCGAAACCCTGTTCTAATTACTAAGGCCCCTACTTGGAGGGTCGGGGGACTTAGTAAGTAGGTAGTAAGTAGACTTATAAGTACCCTAGAAGGGACCCTAATTGGGGTTATGGTACTTATAAGTCCCTAAAATAACCAGTTACCAAGTCCCCCGACCCTCCAAGTACATTACTTTAGGAGGTAGTACATTACTTCTTAAATCCTAAACCCAAAATCCTAAACCCTAAACCCCACATTACTTTAGGAGGTGTGGCGCCTTGGTGCCTCGCAGGTTCACCTGCCACATGGCACCATCCTGCAAGGGGCTCTCTCTGTCGTTACCCGCGAGTCCTTTAAAGGGATCCTATAGGGTTTAGGGGTTCCTTTAAAGGGATCCTGTAGGGTTTATGTAGGGTTCAGGTTATGGTTCGTGGCTTAGCGTTTTAGGGAGCTTTTGAGGTGGTTTAGGGTTTAGGGTTTGTGGCGTAGGGCTTTAGTATTAGGGCTTTTTGGGTTGGGGGTGTTGGGCTTGAGGCGTTCAGTCTGCTACACGAGGGCATCCGACGAACTCCACCTAACCCTACCTGCTCAACTCCTCAACCCTGCACCGTAACTAACCCCTGCCAGCCCTATGCTCCTAAACCTCTGTACTTGGAGGGTCGGGGGACTTAGTAAGTAGGTAGTAAGTAGACTTTTAAGTAGCCTAAAAGGGACCCTAATTGCGGTTATGGTACTTATAAGTCCCTAAAATAACCAGTTACGAAGTCCCCCGACCCTCCAAGTAACCCCTACAAACCTCGGGGTGTAGAAGGACGGCTCAGTGTGGAGCTCAATGGGTGGATCCCCTGTCCTCGGAACCCACGTAGAGCACGTTGGTCTCGTTCTCTGGGAAGGACAGAGACATCACCTCAAAGGATGTAGGGTCTGGGGCTCTGGTTCTAAGGGGTTGAAGTCTAGGCCTGTTTAGGGGTCTAGGTTCCAAGGGTAAAAGGAGGGACCCTTAATAAGGACCCCTAGGTATATACCCTTAATATAGCTACTATATACCCATTATATAGCCCATTATAGGGTAGGGGTCCCCAATAAGGGTCCCTCCTTTTCCCCTTTGATAGGTTCAGGGTTTAGGCGCATGGTGTTCAGGTTTGGGGTTGAAGCTTAAGTCAAAAGGTTCGGGGGGTTTTGTCTCCAGGATTGTAAGAGGGGAGGTAAGGCTTTCGAAGGCGAACGGTTTCAGGGGGCCTGAGGGACAGGATGATCTGTAAACCCCAAACTCATCAACGGTAATGCAAGGGCCTTAATAATTAACTTACGGTTCTAGGGTATAGGATACTGTAATTACAATAAGGGACCCCCAAAATAGTATAGCTGGCTATTTAAGCCACTATAGTAGAATAATGGCACTTGTAGAAGGCATTATAGCCTGCGTACCTGGTGCCATGACCCTTCAAGCAAGGGGGTGGCCAAGTGGCAGTTTCAGAACATGAAGGAAGGAGCCCGAGACCCTTCTCAAGAAACCCTGCGTTGCACCGGTTCTGCGATACTCCGGGTTAAAGCGTACAAACATTCAAACCTGCAACCTCACTAGGATATTTTGTGCCATTTGTTTCTTCAGCGTATTGTCAAATCGATGCCTTCTCACACTGATACAATGATTCCGACTGCAACGATCGCCACAACGATACCATCGATACTTCCACTAGACTGTCGCACCCTGACCATTGTCACTATTCTTCAAAACGTTTCTGTCAACCTACTCCCACTTCTCATCTGCTGCCTCGTCTTGATGTTCTTGCTAGCACTCCTTCCTGCGATTACCCTGGCCCCCAAACCCTAAACGCCCTAACTCCTCAACTTACACTACACACCAAACTCCAACACCCAAATGCCTAAAACCCACATGCCATAAAAAAAAAAGCTTATGTCCCCTAAACCCTAAACGTGCTACACCCACTGTTCCCTAAACCCTCAGTTCCCTTGCATTTCCAACTCGGACGTCGGCCGAGGGCTCCCTTCGACCCTTGCTCTCGTGCTTCAAGTCCACGGTCTCCTGGGTTCTTTAGGGTTCCTTTGAAGGGTTCTCTTTAGGGTTACTTTAAAGGGTTCTCTAGGGTTCCTTTAAAGGGTTCTTTAGGGTTCCTTTAAAGGCTCAAGATCTAATGCCGGGGCCTTGTTGATAAGTAATTAGTGGGTTTTGTGGCCATTGAACTATAATTATAACACGGAAAAACCAAAATAGTTTCAGGTATTTGTGATTTCTTTTAATACTGCGTGGAAACAAACAGGTTTAATCTAAGTGTGTGGTTTAGCGCCTACGACTACGACTACTGCTACTACTGCTGCTACTTGCTACCACTGCTACATCTTCTACTACTACTATACTACAGCAGCGACTACTACTACTACTACTACTACTACTACTACTACCACCACTACTACTACTACTGCTGCTACTACTACTACTACTGCTGCTACTACTACTACTACCACTACTACCACTACCACTACCACTACCACTACCACTACCACTACCACTACCACTACCACTACCACTACTACTACTACTACTACTACCACCACCACTACTACTACTACTACTACTACTACTACTTCTACTACTACTACTACTACTACTACTACGACTACGACCACGACTACTACTACTACTACTCCTCCTCCTCCTCCTCCTCCTCCTCCTCCTCCTCCTCCTGCTGCTGCTGCTGCTGCTGCTGCTGCTGCTGCTGCTGCAAGGCCCTCCTACTACCACCACAATTTGTGGCTCCTGCGGCTGGTTCAGCATTGCAAGCGACCAGACGCAGAGTCTCCCGTCGTTCGAGGCTGTGACCTGCAGTGCGACAGAATCGTGATCGGGATCTTGGCAAAACACTGTCCATTGTGTTGTGGAATTGTCATGAGACATCATGTGCACCCTAGGACAGAGCGGCATGCGATCACGGGGTCCCCCACGAGATTCGTCGCATTCTGAGTGCCCACTTGCTCCATGGCAGTGACGGGGTGGGCATGACCTGCTGCGACGAAGCTGCAAGTCCCTGCTGGCCCAACCAAGGTGTAGAGTTTAGGCAGGGTGAACTCCTCCCTGAACCCTAAACCCTAAATTTCTATCTGCTCCAACTTCAAAATATTAAGCTCGAGCCAGAGCCTGAAAAAAACAAAACCCTTTAACACCCAAACCTTAAAACCTAAGCCCCTTAAACCCCGAACTCTAAACCTCAAAGTCAACACCCGATGCGTAACATGTAGGGGCCTAAATAATTAGAAGAGGGTTTTGGGGCCAATTATACTAAAGCTATAACAAGGACCCCCAAAATAAAATGAGCACTGGTAATTGTTTAGGCCCCTACATGAAACGCCTGAAAAACCCAAAATCCTAAATCCTAAGACAGTGGAACTCGGAGCACGCCTTTCCCGCTCAGAGGGGTCTTCAGTACGGGACCAGCCTGATGAGGCAGTTCTTTTCGGGCCTGAGTAGTGACCTAGAATACTTGGAGGGTCGGGGGACTTAGTAACTGGTTATTTCAGGGACTTATAAGTACCATAACCCCCATTAGTAGGGTCCCTTTCAGGGTACTTACAAGTTTACTTACTACCTACTTACTAAGTCCCCCGACCCTCCAAATAGGTTCCTTCAAAGGGCTCTATGAGGTCTACTAGAATGATTTAGGCTTTTGGGATCTAGTTTTTTTTTTCTTTTGGGGTCCAGGGTTTAGGGAGGTTTAAGGGTTTGGGGTTTGGGCTTCGGGCTCAGGGTTTAAAGGTTTGGGTTTGGGCTTTGCTCAGGGGCTCCTGATCTTCTCTGATACAAATTTTTCTGCTCCTTTTACAAAACTCTAAACCCTACTCTTTTTAAAGGACCCTAAACCCTACTATTAAAGGACCCTGAACCCTACTCTTTTTGAAGGACCCTAAACCCTACTCTTTTTAAAGGACCCTGAACCCTGCTCTTCAAAATGGAACCTCAACCCTGCTCCTGTTGCAGGACCCTGAAACCCTAGACTAAGAGAAACTCTTGTGAGCTTTGCCCCGCCGTGGCTTGCTGCTGTCACCGCTACATTTTATGACTATTAGCATACATCACATGGGCTGGCACTGCAACCGGCATGTTGTGACAGAAAGCCACATGGCGTCATTATCCCCCGAGCCCCCAAGCCCTGAGGCCCGGAACACTAAACCAGCGGCCTTCTGCCGAGTGTCCCACAAGACGATGCCACCAGAGTAGGTGCCTCACTGCTGAGGCGGACCGAAACTCAAGGCTTCAGAAAAGACCATGAGGGCTTTAGGGCTTAGGATTTAGGAATTTGAAGAGGCCTAATCATATGCACCTCCAAGAAGGTGGGGCTCGACTCTCTGAAACGATCGTCGAGGAAAAGAAGCGTCCCAGCCTCCATAAAGCAACGCAGGATCGAACTTGTGGGGAATGGCCTCAGCTCTTTGACTCTCCGATCGCTGAATGCAGAGACCAAACACTGGGTTCCTCTTGTTAAGAAATTTAGTTTACGCTACCATAATGGGGATCTATACTTAATAGTATGATTTCTTATTTTGGTAACTTAAACTAGATTCCGTACCCAGAACCGAGAACATCGTAGCCCGATCTCGTGCCTGTCCGCTTAAAGTTTAGGGCTCAGGGCAAACACCCTCCACCCGAACGTTGAGGCCTTGAGACCTGAATCTCCAAGCAATGCGACACCACTGGGATGCTGAGCAGCTCGCTGTCAAGACGGCCTTAGAGTGGAAAGGAAGTTGCGTGTGGATGTGATGTTGCGATTGCGATAGGTATGGTGCTGCAATAGACAAGGCCCTGTATCAGGAGATGCAGGTGTTATATATGCAGCACTCTATAGTCGAAACTGTGCGGATGCTTACACACACAGACATGTCCGGGTCTACACATACATGAAGAGTGCCTTAAACTGTCTTATAATGCAATACATTCTGTTGCTTGACATTGCACTACATTACCTTGCCCTGCATTACCTCTTGCCTTCCCTTGTCTTCTGCTACAGTACATGATGTCTCTATAGTACGTGCCGATGTAAACAACAACAAATGTTCAGTCAGTGCGCACACACACACACACGTGCACATGTGTGCATAGTATACAAATAGATACATACATGCATACCTACGTACATACATACATGCATACATACTCGTAAAACAACTCTCGAGAGACAGGGACGAAGGGCAGGCCACCATAATCGACTCGCTGGTCAACATCAACAACAACATCATCATCCCGTCTACAATAGACCCTTACGTTACGTTTCTACAGTTCTTAGCCATGCGTTATATCGATCACTTCGCTTCCTGCAACAACCCTAGCATTCAACACCATAAATTCCAAACCACCAAATACCTCAACTTCCCAAACCCTGTCAGGCACCCTAAACTCTAAAGCTAAAGCCCAAATTCTCGGCCCCAGACGCTGGGCGCAGAGAAAACAACCTCCGGCCGGCTCTTCATGGAAAGGTTCCTCGGGGTCGGATGCTTTGGTAGAGCTTGAGAAAGGCTGTATAGGCTCTTATATTTGAAGGGCTTTGTCATGTAGGCTTGAGAAACTCATACAAGGTTTTGAAAGGAGGCGTCATAGGGTTTCATAGAGGCGAAACAAGGGAGACACAAGCGTTTGATAATAACTTGATACCGGTCCTTGTTGGTGTGCTTAAACTCCTTCTGTCGTTTGAGGGCTTGGGCTTCCTTCAGCTTTCTGAGTTTAACCGGCGGGGCTTAGGATATGGATTCAGGGTTTAGGGTTTAAGTTGAGGGTTTAGGTGGCTTAGGATTTGGAGGCACGTCAGGTCTCTGGAGCATTAGGTTCTCTTTCTTAACACAGTCTGCTTATGAAGGCTTTTGGGGTTTAGGGTTCAGGCTTTAGGGGGTATAGGCTTTCGGGTTTAGGGGCTTATAAGGGATGTTTCCGGGACTTTCTTCCCCAGGGTTTTCGGAAGTGGAAGCTTGCAGGTCCGGCGCTTGGGGTTCTAGGAATGGGCCGGTGGGTTAAGACTAAGAAAGGTCTAGTGTCACGTGTTTGGGCTTTATATTGTTGAAGGCTTTTAGTCTGCCGCTGAGAGTTCCATTCGAACATTGCGCGGGTCTAAGATGGGTCTACAACTGATTTGCAAAAGTTGAGGCCTCTGGTGCCTAACCGGTGTCCTTTGTAGCATTTGTAAGGTGTCGAAAGGGTTTCTCTATCAAGACTTGAGACTTGAGGCCAGAAGCCCGTCCGGTGAAACCCTATAACACCTCTAGAAAACACCAGAACGCCGTTGCAAATTATGGCCTTGTTTGCTATGTGTAAGAATGCACACATACACATGTATTTAGTCATATGTATATAGGTTCGTGTGTATGCATATCTATATATACATACATGTACACATGTATATATATATATATATAAAATCCGGAACCCAAGCTGGAAGCCGGGGCAGCGGACCACACGAGCATGCAGCCATCTGGCAACCAGATGGCGATTTCAGCATTGCAGACCGAGGGACCAAAGTCTATAAACACTTGAGAAACACAGGACCAAATGCTATGCGCAAGTTTGGGCGATTAATGCAAGAAGCCCGCAAAGAGACTTCAAAATCCACAGCACTAAACACTGAAGCCTCGACGATACGCTGCTGATACACCAAGTAACCGGCCTTTTTAAGGTTTCATATAAGGATCAGATTAAGGAACCATAAACAGTTAGGTTCTTCAGGGTCCAGGTAAACCCTATACCGAGGCTTTGCTTCGAGGCTAGGACCGGCTGTTGACATGTTAGAGAGGTTTGTGGATCGTAGAGGTGCAAATTTCAGGGGTCTGAATGAACACTCATATCTTCTAGTGGTGATCTGGGATTTTTGTGGGGCTTTATAAGTTTGTACAAGTTTATCTATGGCTCCCTAGGGCGAGGAGCAAATAAGTAATCACACCTAGGTCCGCGCTGCCACCACGACAGCAGCCCCAAAAGGAGCTGGTCGAAACAATACCAAAACAACAAGCCTCTAGGAGTAGAATACATACTATCTCATGTCATTATGGAGTGTAAAGTATCTGATACATAATATACCGTCTAACATAGAGTAAAGAATATTCAATATTGGCTGAATACAGAACATTATCAATAAATAAAATGCAAACGTTAAACGCCATATAACATCTGTTCGTATTGCATTTGTGATAGTAGCCTCTACGAACCCTTTTACACACTAACAGTTTGGACCGCAAAAAAGCAAAGCCCGAACGACCCCTTAGCCCCAAATCCATACAATCCGGAAATCCTCAACGAATAGGAAACATATACAAACCCTTAGACCTGTGCCGCACCAACCCTCAACACCCGAAAGTTACGAAAGGCCCTAATTAAGCCCTAAACCCCAAAGCTCCAAAACCCTAAACCCCTAAATACTCAAATCCCTAAACCCCAAACCCTAAATCCCTGTATACTAACATCCCTAAATACTAAAATCCCTAAACCCTAAACCCCTAAATACTAAAATCCCTCAACCCCAAAACCCCAAACCTGGACGCTGCTCCCCGGAGCTTCCGGGTTCAAAGCGACTAGCTATAGGGGCGTACAAGAGTTACTGCGAGGGTTACTGGGAGGACATGGGACTTAGTCAGTAAGGTTATAAGTGCCTTAATTGGGGTTATAAGTTCGGGGTCCGTGCGACTTAGTTTCTGCACGGTCTGTGGCACTACTCAAGCCCATGCTTTAGAAAAGCCAGCACATCGCCGTCACATGCACCCCATCATCTCGAATAATTCTACAAGCCCTTTGACTCTAACACCCTGTACATCCCGCTAACATCCTTGTAGAAACCTGGCTAAACTAAGCAGTTTGAATCCTCTCCTGGATCCGACAGTTCCGGGTTCGATTTCTGGTGATAGGCGGCGATGAAGATCTCCTGTTGATGTTTTCTGTGGGACTTAAGGATTACGGCTTGAGTTCAAGATGTTTGTTGGTGAGTTTTACGGCATAGGGTTTACAAGGGATCCGAATCAAAGCGCTGGAGCCACAAGCGACATTGGCGAGTTCACAAGTCAAGCACACTTAGACGGACGATCAAAAGACTCCGTCAGCTCTCAGCAACCTTACAAGATGGAGCGGCCTTCATCTTAATAACTAAAGAATATTGCGAACCTTGTTTGTCCAGGTCTATTAAGGAGCCCTGAGGAGTAGCATGGATAATCATTCCGGCTTCTGTTTTACCATCACCACTTTTAGTGTAGCTTCAACTATAACCATGTTTACGAGAATAGGTCACATACCCAACTAAACATGATCCCTAGGCTGAGGCCCTAAATCCCAAGAGCCTGAACCTAAAAGCAGCCCCACACCCTAAACACAATCCTACATCCCGCACCGCTAAGACTGAAGTCCCGACAGGCCACTTGTTAGACCCTAAACCCTACATCCTCAAACCTAACCCTTTCACTCTAGACCCGACACTTTGGCACCCCTAAACCCTGCACTGCCATCCTGAAGCCTTACAGTAGAAGCCTAAAAGTTGAAAACCCAATAGCCTTAATCCTTAAGAGTCATGTATAGGGAATCCCAGCACTATTTGTCTTTAATCCAGTTTCCAACTTTGTGGAGTTTACTGTACTCCCTAAACCCGAAATCGCAGAGCCGGCAAACCTTGTTGTGAGGTGAAAAGCGGAGGTCTGTCACGGGACGACCACGCGACCACTTGTCCTCTTGAGTTTGGGATCCTTTAAAGAAAGGTTCCTTTAAGGGTTCCCAGAGATCCTTCATATGGGATCCAGTCAAGAGTTTCCTTAGAGGGTTCCTTTAAACGGTTCCTTTGCCGTTGTAATTAGAATTAGGGTCCTTTGTAAGGGATGTTATAGTATTTAACACATGGGCCGTAATAGGTTGAATGAAGGTTGCTCCAGAGGGTTCATCTACCTGTAAGGGAATTATACTGTGGGTGACATAATTCGAATACCAGAGGTTTAGGTTCTTAGGACTTAAAGCTTAGGGTTTGGGGTGTAGGGTTGGCTCAAGGTTTGGGGGCCCAGTGTTTTTCAGCGAAGTGACCTGCCAGTTTGATGGTTTGGCACGAGTTCTATCTGACTGGATCCGGGGTTTGTAGCGGAGGAAACTCTGAGGAATCGGTGTGCGTCTTCCTGTTCCGGAACATAAGAATCCTATCATTCAGTATGCGGGCCTAGTTCCGGAGTTTAAGGATCTGTCTCATGTATGATGAATCACAGAGCTGGCGTTCCAGGGACACCCCTGCGAACCTGACGGGTTACACGAAGCCGCCATCTAACAACCACACGGTGTATACACCAAGAGTAAGAGCATTATGCGTGTATACGTACACACCCCTATACATGCATGAATGTATCAATTATACATATATGTATATATATATATATACACATATATATATATATATATATATTCACATATTTAGTTATATGAAGAGATGCCCAACAACACAAACTCTGGTCGTGATCAAGGAGATGATGACGATGATGAGGTTCTACCAACTGCCAGATGCCTCCACATAATCGTCCACGTGCTTCAAGGCATCTGCACCTGGAAAGCCAGGTTTGAGACATCGTGCACTGCACGCATCCCAGAGCATATGCAAGGCGGCCCGCAAACTATGCCGCCATGCATGCTCTGCCTAAGTCGTCTCAATTGTTTTTTCTACGACTTCGGCAACGACTCCGAGCTACTACGAAGACCAGGACGAAAAGGACGAGGACCACTTTGGCTGCTGCTGGTGCTGCAGATGCTGCTCCTGCTCCTGGCACAGCTACAGCTAGCGTTGCTGCTCATGCTAATGCTAACGCTAACCCTAATGCTAATGCCACTACTGCTACTACTGCTGCTACTGCTACTGCTACTGCTACTGCTACCGCCACTGCTACTACTACTACTACTACTACTACTACTACTACTACTACTACTACTACTACTGCTACTGCTACTGCTACTGCTACTACTACTACTCCTGCTGCTGCTGCTACTACTACTACGACTACTGCTACTGCTACTGCTACTGCTACTGCTACTGCTACTGCTACTGCTACTGCTACTGCTACTACTACTACTACTACTACTACTACTACTACTACTACTACTACTACTACTACTACTGCCACTGCGACTACTACTGCTGTTGCTGCTCCTGCCACTGTAATTGAGGTGCTGTCAATGTGGAGGGACTCCAGTGTACCAGCCGAAGCTCCAGTTGCATGCATGCTCCTATACCCTAAACCCTAAGCCCTATATAGATTCGTGGCGGTGCCTCTTCAAGTAAAACATGCTAAACAAACAAACATGTACAGCACTCAACACAAGGAATCCAACGTTTAGGGTTTGGGGTTTAGGGAACTATTGCAGGCACCTCCACCCTCGCCCTCGACACCCTCGGCCGAGGTGTTTTTGAAGTCAAGAGCCAAGTCCCAGGTCTCCTGGCTTCTTCTGTAAAATTAGGGTACTGTTGACTTTCTTATAGCTTTCTACCAGTGTATTACTATATGTTGCAGGAAAGTAAGGTATCTACAATTTTATCCTCACAGTATCTTACAGCTCTGTTTGGCACTCTAGCATCCAGTAAGTCTAGTTTCGATTGTCTGGAGAGTTAAAGGGTCCGGGGTTTGGTGCCTTAGGATTAACAAATGGCCGTGTCAGGTTCAGGGTTTCAGCTCTGGGGTGCCTGTGGCTGTTCGCTCACTCATGAGGCCGTTGTTAACGGTCATTACTTGTTTGATTACTCTTCGGGTTTTAGGGGTTGCGAAATCGCCTTGCTAAATGCAAAGCGCCTCCAAGTAGCCACGTCTAAAGCCCCCTAGCCTGCCCTCAGACCCACACAGAAACCCTTTGGATCCTTCCAGACCCCTCTATGGGAGTTTCCGATACCCCAAATTTTCCGAAACTCCCCTATAAACCTCTGACTACAGTCCCAGTGCTTCCTGGCCCAGCACCCTCTCCACAAGAAGAGTGGCCCGCTCAAAGAACCTTGTGGAGATCTTTCAAGGTTTAGAACGGCTGAGGATTTAGGGTGTAGGGTTTAGGGTTGAGAACGTAGGGTATACAAATAAGTTCTTGAGGATGTCCAGGGAGAACAATCCTCGTCTTAGTCCCGTGCTGAGGGATGTTGTAAGGCTTCATAAAGCTAACCCTAAACACTGAACCCATAAGCCCACAACTACCGCGACGGGCCATCCTCCTGGTCCCTCTCGCGATCCATCTGAGGCCACAACTCTTGACTTGAAGATTACGCCGGAAAGTTTTGCTGAAGCAGCTGATCGAGATCATGTTGGGCTTACAGGGAACTCCAGAAAGTTGGAATATGGTTTCAGGGTAGGATACCTTATAATTTACCATAAAGGGTTTAAGATAGTCATATTCCAACTTTCTGGCTTTTACTTTAACCCTAAACCTTGAACATTTTCAAACTGGGGTTTAGGGTTCAGGGTGTAGGCCAGTGCAGGCTTCACCGATCATGGTACGAACCTTATGCCTTCTGTGCTTGGATTTCTCTTTTAGGCGTCGGAATACCGAAACTTTCTTTAACAGGAAACCAAAATAAAAAGGAACACCATTAAGACCCCTGTAACAAAATCACTGCGATGGGGAGCAGGCGCTACGTAGTCCGGATGGCTCTCGACCTTTTTCCTCTCCTGGCCGGCAGGCACCTAAACCCCAAACCAATAAAGGGTTTTAGGTTTAGGGTGAGGTTTAGGCTTTAAGGATTAGATTTGAGGAGTTTAGGAGTTTAGGGTTTAGGGTCCATACTGTCCGTAGTCAAATCATGCTGACATGTTCGGCTTCGAGGGTGTAGGGCTGAAGGCTTCGCAGAAATCGCGAGGTTGCTCTGGAGTTTCTCAGATGAGGTACTCCGGGCCTATACCCAGGGGCTCCACAGTAGTTCCTTTTGGGGGTTCATATGTAGAATCCTATAAAGTATTCCCAAAAAGGAACTACTATGGAGCCTCCGGGCTTGGGTTTTACATTGCAGATTGTTCCGGGGTTCACGATGGGCGATTTTGTACAGCCCTAAACCCTTAACCCCACACCCTAAACCCGTACATTAGAAGCTGCCCCCACCCTGTAATAGTGACTATAAGGATTATAGTAAGGCCCTATTATATTCCTATTATACCACTATTACAGGTTGGGGGCCCTTTCTAACCCGTACCCTAAACCCTGCATTTTTACCAGGGGTGCCTGGAAGGCTCGGTGTTAGTTTGAAAGAGCTCATGTCTAGTCTCAGGATCGTCAGGACCTACGTTGCCATTGAGAGATGCTGCTCAGTTTTCCAGTACAGTAGAAGCCTAAAAGTTGGAAACCCCATAGCCTCAATCCTTAAGAGAAATGTAGAGGGAATCCTAGCACTGTTCGGCCTTAATCCGGTTTCCAACTTTATGGAGTTTACTGTAAAGGTTTTTCGGCTCGTCAGGGTTTGGAGTACATAAGTGGAGGATCTTGGAGTTTGAGGTCTTCATGGCGGAAGGTGTCCTGTCAGGAAGGCAGCTACGGTTTTCGGATGACAGTTTAGAATCTATTTCTGGGAGTGTTGTGGTATCTAAAAGGGATATTGGCAGGAACAGTGCTACGATTTGGACAACACCCAGAGCCTCAGCCAAAACAATAAAGGACTCCTAAGCCGCGGTTAGATCTCAAACTCCGGCAACCCCCGTACAAGAGAAGGACCCTCAAGACACCCTGTGCAAACAAAAAATAAAACTGTACATCCCAGAACAACAGCAACTTAGGTACGGCCCCCACTCAGTAATAGTTGAATAATATTCAGAATATAGATATAGTAGGACCTTAATAGTAGCCCTATTATAGACTCTTACTGTATGGGGGCCGTACCTAAACAGCAACCTAGAAAAACCTGTGGAGGCTGATAAAAAACTGATACAGGCCTCGAAAAAGGCTTGGTGATTTCTGTAGTGTACCTAACTCTTCCTAACTCCGTATTACGCCCTCTGAATCTCAATAACTAAACCCCTGAAGTGCGACCTTGTTGGGGATCCTATGTCGACTTACCCTAAACCCAAGAACCCAAAACCCGAAAAACCCTAACAATTACAACCCTAAACCCTATGAAAACCCTAAACTCCTGAAAAAAACCTAAACCGTTTCGGCCCGGGTATCAATGTAGGGGCCTCAATATCGATCCCTTCATCGAACCCCTTTAAGGATCCCTTTAAAGGAACCCCATACTCTGGGCTTTTAAGTAACCAGGGAGAAAAAAGTATAAACTTTTATTTCATAAGGGTTCCTTTAAGAAAAAAAGTATTAAAGTATGGTACTCCAAAGCCCAGTTTAAAGGAACCCCCATACTTATTGAGGCCCCCGGTGGTACCTTCACGGAAGCTCCCAAAAAATCGCAAAGCAGACCAGGCCTCGGGACTCAGCTCCTGAATTTCGAAGGTTAGTACGGTTAAGGGTTTAGGGTTTAGGTTTAGGGTTTAGGGTTTAGGTTTTGGGTTTAGGGTTTAGGTTTAGGGTCTATTTTATGTAAGGGCTCCTTTTCGATCTGCGAAGTCGGAATATCTAGGATTTTGGGTTTTAGGGTTTAAGCGTTTAGGGTTTTGGAGCTTTCAGGGTTTAGGGTTTCGAGGTTGGAATATGAGGTTTGGGAGCTTGGGGTTGAAGGTTTAAGCGTCTCAGGAAACCTCGGGACGTAGCTTGCGTTAGGGTATAAGGTTTTTTGGGAATCGCAGGGTGCCTGGCGGTGAGAGCAGCGCCTTTTGTTGGTTTATCTGGTTTAGGGGTTGAAGGTTTAGGGGCGGAGTTGGTTTCATCTCACGCTTCGCCAGCAGCACTTGCAAAATGTCATGTCTTGGGTTCTGGGGTGGCATGGGCCGTGCACTGCTGGACTCGCGACGTGCGCATTAACGTGAACATGTTGGCGACATCTGGACGACCGGCACCACCTCATCTCCAAAAGCTCGCCTCAAACACTCCCACACATGTGGATCTGGTGAACACCAAGCGATGCACATTTCTGGCCGCGATAGCAGTCACAGTGACCAAAATTGAAGCTTGTTCCAGCAGATCTGGGATAAAAACCCACTTAAACTATGCCCTCAACTAGAACCCTGCAAATCCCTGCACGCCCGATTAATGACAAGACAACAAATCCCGATGGCTGTACTTATAATTTCGAAACCCCGGGGAGCAAGATTACTAATTGGGAGTTTCCGAAAATAGGGAACCCTAATATGATTCCCCAAATAGTAGGATCCCTATTATAAGGGCCCCAAGGTAAGGTACCCCTAATTTTCGGAAACTCCCAATTCTACCTGAACGAGGAAGGCCTTGAGCAGTAAATCCTCTTCGCACTCTGCTCGAAGATTGGCTTAGGGGTTCAGGTTCAAATATTTGGCTGGTTGTCAAAAATCATTGTCCCTTTTTGGGTCCTTGATATAATACGGCACCCATTATTTAGGGTACCCCAAAAGGGGCCATAATTTTGACAACCACCCATTTAGGTGTGAAGGTCTCAAGGCTTAGTACCTTACTAGGGGGGGTAAGTTCTTCATGAACATGCACTTGCCCTTGTTTAGTGTTTAAGGCTTAAGGCTAAGGATGAGAGGGCTAGGAATTCGGGGTTTAACTCTAAGGAAACAGCCCTACACCCTGAAGCGGTCCTTGACCTCTGGCTTTTCCTCCTCTGGTTTGGCAGCCTGTTACAGACTCAGGGGGGGCTTCTGGGGTTTTCTACAGAAGGTTCTACTTGGAGGCCCTGTTGACTTAGTAAGTCTACTTAGTATCCCCCAGAAACCCTATTATAATCCCCATAACCCACCTTACTAACCCTACTTACTAAGTCAAAAGGGCCTCCAAGTAGGTGTAAGGGGATCCACAAGGGCATCCACAGAAGGCTTCTACAAAGGGCCCCGTAAGGGCTTGTACACAAGGTTCTCTGAGGGTTGATCTAAAGAGGGTTCCTGGAGAAGGTCCTATTAGGGTTTCTGAAAAGGGCCCATACGGTAGGGGTTTCTACAGACGCTTCGATGAGGGTTTCTGCAAGATGCTCTGAAGGGTTTCGATAAAACTGACTACAGAAGGGCTCCTGTAAGAGCTCGAACAGATTCTGCAAGGGCTCTGCTTCCGGGTGTTACTATCTCTACGAAGTGTCTCCTTTGAAGATCTTTAGACGAGGGATTCTGACAATCACGAACAGGGGGCCCTGTTCGGGGAGGCTAACATCAGGGATCCTACTATTCGGGGTATGTACTACTAGAGTCCTTGACCCTCTGAAGCGATCAAGATCTCTTCGCCGTGGAAGCTTTCGATGTTATCACATGATGACAGCGTCGCTCGATATTGGATCCATGCACCACTGAGTCAACGAAGGAGTCTCGCTGGCAGAGGGTTTTCTCGCTACCATTCAGGGATTGTAGGTCCCAGCTTTACTGTGAGGGATTCCTTACAGCCGGAGTTGAGGCTACAACCAGCGCAGTCGTGAGAAAGTGCTGAAAAGCTTCCAAGCAGGGACCTAGGGTGGTCGCTTAGCTTGAGTCTTCGCTCTACCATGAATATAAGATTCCCCTCGAAGGTTGAAACTCCATTCTGGCCTCTGAACCCTAAACCCTATAGCTCTAAACCCTAACCCCCATAACTCTAAACCCTAAACCCTATAACCCTAAACCTGTCTAGTGAAGAGCGCCCAGGCTGGATATTGCAAGCTGAACTGCAAGCTGACTTTAGGGTTCAGGGGTTTAGGGTCTGATGGTTTAGGGTTTGAGGGTTTAGAGTTTGAGGGTTTAGGGTTTAGGGGTTTAGGGTTTGAGGGTTTAGGGGCACTGTTTTTGATAAACAGAACAGAAACCTGACACACCGTTTGCAATCGGCAAATATCTCAAACACTTCGATTCCGTCCCTGGTCTCTTTGGGTTTTGGCCTCGGAGGCTGCGCGCTTTACGCGACGCTCTTCCTGGCAGGGTTTCTGCAAGGATTCTTCTAAGCCTTGAGGGTGTTCTTTATCTTGTTTCGGGTTCAGAGTCTAGGGTTAAGGCTTGGCACCTACGGATTGATAAGGATATCTGCTATTTAGATGGCTTTGAATATCAAGCTGTTTTGCTGTGTTGGAGGTTTGGTCCGAAACAAGTCCCTCCTGGATATAAGTGTCGGATTTTGGTTTTAGATTTGGGGGTTGGGTGGGGGTCCTGAGGGATAATACAATACCTAAACCCTAAACCTAAGCTCCTGAACCCTCAACCCCCAAACCTCCTACAATCGGCAAGCGGAGGTGGTCCTGCGTCATGGCCGTCGTCCCGGACACGACCCGATTCTTGGCCCTGTCAGCCTTTGGTGTTTGGGCGAAGGGTGGGGTTTGAGGTTTAAGGGCTTAGAGGATAGGATTGTTATTCAGGATAGAGTAAGTAGGGGTCAGGGTTTAGAGAGTTTAGGGTCTAGGGTTGTTATGTAGGCTTGAAAAGGATTTAGGGTTTAGGTTTTGCCAGTTTACCGTCTAACTTTAAGGTTCTTGCAAGCTTCTGCGGTGGTTGGGGTTTCAGGACAATTTAAGGGTTCAGGGTTTAGGGGTGCGGCGCCAGGGTGGGGTGGCTGCAGGGCTCTAGTGAAATCTCCGGCAGCTTTAACTCTCCAAACCCTGAAGTATAGTTTGCATCCCACTCTAAACCCGTTCAACCCTAAAGCGCATTGAACCCTTAAAGCCCCAATCCCCTCAAAGGCCGTAAACCCCTGAAACAAGCAAGAACCCTTAAAATGCCATGAACGCCGTAAACCGCATGCATCCCCCGAAAAGCCCTAAACTGCCCTAAACCACAAAAAGTCATAATAACGGCAATAGTAAAGTCGTGGGCCACCGGGCCATTTTCATCAGGATTGACGTGGAGGACTTCGTCATCAGCTGCTTTGGCCCTCCGCCGCCCTGACCACCTCCGACCTTAGTTGGAGGCCCTTTTGACTTAGTAAGTAGGGTTAGTAAGGTGGGTTATGAGGATTATAATAGGGTTTCTGGGGGATACTAAGTAGACTTACTAAGTCAAAAGGGCCTCCAAGTACCGGTTTAGGTCTCGGGCTTAGGGTGGAGAGGTTTCGAATTTTGTCAGTTTCGCTTCACGGATGCAAGTCTACAGCATCTGCGCACATTTGCATGTACGTGTATGTGTATGTGCATATATATATATACACATGTACAAATTAGCGTATGCAAATATGTATTTGTATATTGTATATAACATCTGTATTACATATTAACACCAATGCATACAGATGTACCACGGTATACTATGTTCTATCATACTATAACTGCATTGCATTGCATTATACTATCACACACAAACACACGCACAAGCACTCCCAAATAATGATACTACGGCTGCATACCCAAATTCTGAACCATAACCTTCATCACTGTACCCCCCCTTAGAACCAGAATACAATGGGAGACTATAGATCATGCACATTGGCCGCGGGCATCGTCGGCTTTGAGGTCGGTCTGGCACGACCTTTGCATGTGAGGCAGGCTGAAAAGTCGGGCTTCAGAACTGAGGCTGTTAGGGTTTAAGGACTGAGGTCGGGGTCCTTCTGACAAGGACTTTACCCTCAGAGATCCCAATACCCCTTAATTAAGGAATATGCCTTAAATTATAATGGGATCCCTAATATGACTTAAGGTATAATCCTTAACTAAGGGGTATTAGTTCTCTGGGCCCTCTAGGGACGATATTTCGTGCTTTGGTTCCCGAACTTATTCGTCGTGAAAATGTGCACTCGCTTGCTGCTGCATTGTACGTAGTTCTGCTGGGGATTACGTATTCAAGGTGTTGAAGGTCCAGGTCGTAGAGGTTCGTTCGGGGTTTAGGAGTTGGGACGTTAGGGGTTTACTTGTCTGAGGTAGACAAAGAGGGTTAGAAAAGTCAGGAAACGACACTTTAGAACCCGGAAACCCCCACCTAAGGACAATCGCAGCTGTAACTACCTTGCCAAGGCCGGGTGGCGCAGGTAGATGAAGGAAGGACAGGGAGCGGGAGGAGAGGGAAGGAGGTTGAGTTGGGGAGCTGGGCTGTTGGTTAAAAGTTCTCTTGGGATCGGGTCAAGCCAGGCCTTTTTTTCTTTAAGTGTAGTGGCACCCTTTCTCCGCTGACAGACGTCAGGCCCTGCCGGAACAAAGGCTTACACTCCGGCCTTTCTTTAGTCTTAAGGCTTTAAGGCTCCAGACTACGGGGAGAAATCCAGACTTCGCCGAGGGCCGAGACGCTACACAGCTTCGCAAGATAAGTATATATCGGGTGTACGGCCCAAGAAGCAAGAACCAGGAGCTGCAAAACACAAGAGACCCTGGTGTAGACCCTGAACTTAGCTGCCAAATTCATAGGCGCAGAAACCTTTCAAACTGAGGGCTACATTATCCCCAGAAGGTTAATTTGTCCAACTCCACAAATCTCACAAGCTCGCCGCCTGTCGTACGACTCGTGCCCAGCAGGCTCGACGTCGACCTGAGTACCCCAAAGCACATGAATAACGAGCACAATCACAATAATAATAAATATAACAACAAAAATACGAGCTTTGGTATGATACATAGTAACACCAGTACGATTAAGACAGTAATGCCAGCAACATTCTATGGCTGGAACTAATAGACTCGAGCCCCAGCGGCGCATAAACATGGGCTGTTTATGGGGGCATCGGTGATCTTCCTTCAGTGTCTTTGGAAGCTTGAGGATCTTAGATTTCAGTTAGCATGACCCTAGACCCTTAACCCTTCACTGGCTTAATATAGGGGCGTCAATAATTAGAATAAGGTTTTGGGGCGGAGCGGACATGAGTCTGGTGCGAATGAAGTTATAGATGACTTGTGCATCCGTTGAACTCTCAGCCATCTTTGAGCTGACATCCTAACTGACTGAGGTTTTGGGGCCCATTCTACTATAAATATAATCAGGAACCCCCACAACAGTGCAGGTACTTATTAAGGCTCCTATAGGGGGATGAAAAGGGAGTTTCCGAAATAGGGGGGCCAAATATAGTACCCTAAATAATAGGATCCTTATTCTAGGGACCCCCAAATAAGGTACCCCTAATTTTTGGAAACTCCTTGGATCCTGATGTGTTGGCGCCGGTCGGGCCCGTAACGGCTGAGTCTCTTTTGACTAGGGCCACAGCCGAAGCGACGGAGATCTCCTGCTGGAAGTTGAGACCTGGCTGGGGTTTTGGGTTTAAGGGTTTAAGGGTTTAGGGTTTAGGGGTTTAGGGTTTATAATAGGGCTTAGGATTTAGATCTCTTTAAAGCAACCCTTATGGATCCCCTTTATAGGAACCCCTAAATCCAAAAACCCTAAACCCTCAACCCCCAAACCCTAAAGATCCCTTTGAAGGAACCCTTACAAGAACCCTGTGAAGGAACCCTTACAAGAACCTTTTGAAGGAACCCTTACAAGAACCCTATCGGATCCCTTTAAAGGGGCCCCTAAAATTTTTAAAACCTCAACCACCAAACCCTAAACCCGATAGATCCTTTTACAAGAACCCTTATGGACCCCTTAAAACAAGAACCCTTATGGGTCCCTTTAAAGGGGCCCCTAAATCCTAAAACCCTAAACCCTAAAGATCCCTTTGAAGGAACCATTACAAGAACCCTTATGGATCCCTTAAAACAAGAACCCTTATGGGTCCCTTTAAAGGGGCCTCTAAATCCTAAAACCCTAAACCCTAAAGATCCCTTTGAAGGAACCCTTACAAGAACCCCTATGGATCCCTTTAAAAGAACCCCTTTGGATCCCTTTAAAGGGGCCCCTAAAAACCCCCAACAACTAAGGTAAGGATATTTCCGGATAGTGTAGGGGCCTTAATAATTAGAATAGGGTTTGGGGTTATATTATACTATAGTTGTTATCATAAGGAACCCCTGAAATAGTATAGGTAATTATTAAGGCCCCTACAATACAGTAGAAGCCAGAAAGTTGGAATATCATTATCGTAACCCCTTTTAAGGTAAATTATAGGGGATCCTACCATTAATCCATATCCCAACTTTCTGGAGTTCCCTTTATTTAGAGGAAGCCCATACTTATGATCCCTTTATAAACCCCTTTAAGGATCCCTTTAAAGGAACCTAGGACTACAAAAAGGGAATAAGGGTACTACTGGGCATCCTAGTCCCTTCATTTTGTAGACAAAGGACCTTAATATCGATCCCTTGAACCCCTTTAAGGATCCCTTTAAAGGAACCCCAAACTTATTTTGTAGACAATGGACCAAGGCCCCGGCTCCTCTCACCAGCTCCTGGCGGCGAAGCGCGGCTCTTCTCGCTGAGCTCCTGGAACTCTAGGCTGTTCAGTGACCCACTGGGAAAAAGTATATACTTGTTTAGGTTTTGCTTTTTTTTAAGGGCTCTTTTCCACCTGCAGGTACAGCTAGAACTCCTGTACCTTGTTTAGAGTTTAGGCTTAAATTTTGTAATAGGAACCCAGAAACCTGAAAGTAAAAAAAATGTACCACTGAACAGCCTGGAATTCTATTCCGGCTGAGAGGTTCTTCAAGGGGGTAGGGTTTAAGGGTTCAGGGTTCGGAGTTTAGGGTTTAGGGTTGGGGGTCAGGGTGTTGAGGGTTTAGGGGGTAGGGTTTAGGGTTTAAGGCTTGGGGTTTGGGGTTTAGGGTTTGGGGGGTTAGGGTTTGAGGTCAGGGGTTGAGGGTTTAGGGTGTAGCGCTTGAGGTGTGTAGGGTTTCAGGTTTGGGGTCAGGGGTTTAGAGTTTAGGGTCCAGGGTTTAGAGTTTGGGGTCAGGGGTCTCTGGTTTGAGGCCAAGGGTTTAGGGTTTGATTAGGGTTCGGGGTTTTGGGGTTCTTTAAAGGGTCGCGATAAGGGTCTAGGATTTTATGAATTGTAGTCTTGCCTACGACTGGTGTGGCACCACGATGGCTGGTCTTATAGGTTTTGTAAGGCTTTCGGCAGCTGGCACCTGGAATTGCACATGGCTTACAGTCTAATTCTGATTTACTTGGTTTAGAGAATGCTGCTTAACCAACAGAAAACAACACCTGGCGCTTGCTACGATGACCTGATGACAGTCACGATGATGAAGATGGTGATGACGATGAAAATGATGATGATGATGATGCTGCTGACGGCCATGATGATGACGATGATGACGACGATGGCGCTAATGATGCTGATGATGGTGCGAACGGGGAAGACGGTAATGACGGTGATCATGACCTTGGGGGTTTGATGCCGATGAAGCCTTTCTTGAGCAACATGACTATCATGCTGATGTTCCAGATAATCATGAATATGACATTATGGATACAAAACCAAGTAAGAGCAAGCAACATGATACGAAATCTACTCCACGTAGCGGCTTCCAGTGCATCCGACATGAGACGGTGTGCGTACTCGAACGCCGGATGACGTCCATAGTCGCTAGAAAACTCGCGTGTGCTCGAACCGCTAATGACATCCACGCTCGCAGTGCTTCCGGGTTGCAGAGCACACGAACCCGCAAGGTGGGACGGCAAAGGAAAGAAGTGGGCCTTTTCCAGATAGCCTATTTCTGCACAACACAGTGATCCTGGCACTGATCCTAACCTCCTTGTTTGTCGGCCCAGCCTCGGGATTGGGGCCTAAGGATCCAAAAACAATATGCGAGAATCGAACAGGCACTGTTTCAAGGCAGGTCCACCAGGGAAACTCTAAACCCTAAACCCCTGTCACAGACAGGTCCTTCAAAGGCCCTTCCGGAGATGCTGTTGCGCCGCCTGCCGAAAACAGGGGACCCTCATCTAGTACCTTTACACGGTACAATAAGGGTTCCCTTAAGGGATCTATGAGGGTTCTAGAAGGGTTTAGGGTTTAAGGGTCCATGAGGGAGTTTCCGAGAATAGGGGACCCTAATATAGTACCCTAAATAGTAGGATCCTTATTATGAAAGCCCCAAAATAAGGTCCAAGGCCACAAAACCGCGAAGCTGTCTAGGGTCAAGGCCTCGAGTACCCCGACATACTGGGCACCAAAAGAGAGAACACTTGCGAGGAATTGTGAGATGCTGCACATGGCAGAACTCTGGTAACTAACCCCCCTCCTAAGCCCTAAACCCTAAACCCTAACCCCTCCCCTTAAGCCCGAAAGTCCTAAAGCCTAAAGTACGCCCTAGGCCCTGTGACGGATTGCACCACGCCTGCCGAGCCGAGAATCTCAGCGACGAGGCTGTCCACATTGCTGGAGAGAGCCCCAGCCTACCGGTTTAGGGCTTTTGGGTTGACCTAAACCTCAACCCTAAATCCTCCCCAACTGTTGGAGCTCGTGGCTTTGAGGGCTCGGGCAATTTCTCGTTCACGGTTGGGATAGGATTACACATGTAAATGTTTATTCCTTATTGGGTTTAAGTACCCATAACAACGTAAAATGTTACCCAACTATGACAAAGATAAAGCCCTAAGCCCCTAAGCCCTATATACCCCTAAACCCTAAAACCCTAAAGCGTATAGAGCCCTAAACCGGAGTCAAGAGGGCGGCCCCTCGACTCGAGAACCCTCTGAGGTTTAGGGGTTCAAGGGTTTAGGGCCTGAGGGGTTTAGGGGATTAAGGGCTGAGGGGTTGAGGGGTTTAGGGGATTAGGGGTTCAAGGGCTTAGGGGCTGAGGGGTTTAGGCTTTAGTGGCTGCAAAGCAGCAGAACAGTCTTGAATGTAGAAATTGCTTGGGACACCTCTGGCTCCAAATCCAATAGGACCTATCCTGTGAAAACCAGAGCTCTAACACTCACCACAACATCATCAATAACAACCACTGCAACCATGATAATACTAAGCAACATCATCAGGATCTACTGTTTAGGGTTTAGGGCTAAGGCTTAGGGCTTGGGATGTCGGGTGGAGGGCTTAGGGTTTTGGGGGTTTAGGGTTTAGGGTCTTCCCTGGCCTGGGATTTCTGCTGCGCTTGGCGCTCACTGCGCTTCTTCCGCAATTCTTCGACCTGCAGCTCAGGGCGTCATTTTCAATCCTAAACCCTAAACCCTCCAAACCAGAAGTCAGGATTTGGGGTGCCTTAGGGTTTTGGGTGAACTGATCTCAGCCATCGGAAGGGGCTGGAAGGAAATTTCGCAGGGACTTAGAGGTTGTAGCAGGATATTATATTTCTTTGAAAGCGCTACACGGGTTTTAGCGGTTTCTAACAAAGAACATGTTTCCTTTCACGTTGTTTGGATGATACTAGCAGTGAAGGCTAATAATATTGATGTTAATGCTATTAGTATTTCTACTTGTAAGAGCAGCACATTCTTATTGCCAGCCCTACGGCGATAACTGCTGCAAGTACTGCAAACATTGTCCCTCGTCCTGAAGGTCTGCAAGAGGAAAACCTGGAAGCTGGGTTGAGAAAGCAGAATAAGAGCTTTAGCGGATATGTTTCATGGCTTTATGAGTATTTACAACGGCTTGAACTCCACCGTACACCCTAACCCTAAGGGTCCAAACACCTAATCATCATATACTCTCTTAAAGATTAAGCTACAGAACTACTATCCTAAACCCAAGTACCTAAGTATTGGGTCCTTTGAACCCTTAGGGTGAGCCGGAAACCCTGAAGCTCTTCCGCAAGAGCTCGGGAACTGCAAGCCTGCTTCCGCTTCTCGGCGATTTGGCGTATCTGACCAGGGTGTCACGCAGCTTAGGGTCTATATGAGAGTAGGTGTACAATGCCCTAAGCCCTATAAGACCTAAACCGTAATGGTCTATATAGAGTAGGTATACAATACCCTAAGCCCTATAAAACCTAAACCCTGAACCCATAACGGACAAGTGATGGGGTTTGGGGAGTGAAGTAGCAGAGCAACTAGGAAAAACGAATCAGAGGGAGACGAGAGAAAGACAGCAATGCATGACCCGTGGCACTGTACTCGGTAAAACAAATTACAATAATGCAATGTATCGCAGCTGTTATAAGTACATACACATGTATATATATATATATATATATATATATATATATCTATATATATACATATATATATATATATACATAACATAACTATTTCAACATAATGTCATATTATACAACATTATATTCTGCTATAACATGTTTTATTATGGCTTCTTATATATATATATATATGTATGTATACATACAGTATCGTATAGTATAATAGAATGCACGTACATATGTGTTCATATCTATACCTGAATCTGTATACTGTATACTGATTTAATATCTGTTGAGCAGATTCTGCTGCTCCGGTGCCTGAGCTTCAGGCTTTTGGAGGTTCTCCGGCGGTCACCCAGCCATCAACCACAGGGACCCTTAGGGGGGTAGGGGGGAGGGGAGTAGAGCAGTGTGTTTCCTTAAATAAGCCTTATTAGATCCTTGTTATGGGCATCCCCCTGCCCCCTAAGGGTCCCCATGAATCAGCCCGCCTTCTCCTCGCGCTCTCGTCTGAGAGCCTCGATCTCCGCCTGTGGCAGAAGCCGATCCCAAAGAGCGCAATACCCGTTCATTGAGGAATATGCCTCTTGATTTTGGGGTATTGGGCTGCCTGGACGCTGCGAAGTCAGAGACGGAATGAATGGCAAAGCAATTAACTCACAACATCCATCATCTCACAGCACGTGCGGCCTCCATGCTTTCGTCAGACAAGAAACCGCAAAGTTACGACATTGTACGATTTGGGATAGGGTTGGATCTTTCCCACTGTACCAGAACCGAGTAAGTGCATCTTCATTCAAGGCTCAGGATCGCAGTCGGGAAGTTTTGAATCGGGCCTTGGGGTGCTACTCACTCCTACTTGAGGTACATACGACCATGCTGCATACTATACCTTGTACCATATTATCTACTATACTATACTGTACTGTCATGTACGCCTACATTCTAACACCTCTCACTTGATGATTGCTGACATCGCTGCTGAAATGGCTTCGGTTGGGTAGCATGATGAGGGAGACCCCTTAAAGGCCACCCTTCCGAACCGGCTCTCTTAAAGGGTCTGTATCCCCGAGGGTCCCCCTAATCCTAACTCGCATCGGTGATGTCTGAGCAAGAGGGAGGCTCCGGCCACGGCAGTCCGCCTGACCGAAGTTTAGCCGGCCCAGGCTACCCTTCGGCCCAGAGAACCCAGTATCCCTTCATTAAGGAATATACCTTAAATTATCATAGGAGCCCTAATATGATTTAAGGAATATACCTTAAATCATATCAGGGATCCTATTATAATTTCAGGTATATTCCTTAGTGAAGGGTATTGGGACCTCTGGGGGCCCTAAGGCATCCGAAATCCATCTCTGATGGCTTTTCAAGCAATGGGCGAAGGCGCAACTCGGACGGTGCACGGGGTGGAGGTCGGGGAGCTGAGAAGCAGAGGACGCAGGGCTAAGGAGGGGGCCGGGAGCGGGAGGGGGGGGGGGGGAGCAAGCGAAACCACACTGACATTTCGAATCGTCTTCATGCCGCTGCCATGATACAGACTGCATCTACTTATCACAAAATGTCAGTGCGACATGCTGCCATCCTATCTGCCAAAGGGCAGTAGCAGGTGGCAGCCAAGTTGTCAAAATCCTGAAAAAAGTTGGACTTCTCGAGTTAACAGCTGGTTGATGTTGGAAGTACCAGGTCTCCAAAAGGACCCAATGTGGCCTTAAACTGCCACAGGGTCTTGGAATATATAAAATAAGCAGTAGAATAATGTTAAGCAAAAGTGGTAGCATCGATAAGTCTTCACGACCATGTAGAAGTTTGCGGATGTGGGGAACTTCCAGGGGCATCCCAGCCGCTCAACTCGGCGAATGCTGGCGGCCAGCATCTCTACGGCGGGCAGTCAGGCAAAGGACACTTACAATCTGCATTGTCTGACCTGCAGAAAACAAATTCAAAGAGCCCCATACAACCTTAACCAAGGCGTGTGGCTCATGTTATTATAAGGGACTCAAGCAGTGGCCACTCACTCCATGCCCAAAGCTACAAGGTGGACCAAAACCAGTTTGCATTCCCTTGGGCAAACATGGAGCCCAGCTAGTTCGACGCGCAGTGAACGGCTGTCTGCAAGGAAGAACCATTCTTACTCTCTCTCAACCCAAACCCTCATCCGAAAATGAATATGGGTGGTTGTCAAAATTATGGTCCCTTTTTGGGTACCCTAAATATTAGGTGCCGTACTGTACTAAGGACCCAAAAAAGGGACCCTAATCTTGACAACCACCCAAATGGCACCCAGACTAAAGTCCTGCAACACCCCAAATCCTACCTATAGTCTCCATTGTAGTTCCTTCTTTTGGCTACCCAATTTTATGGTTAGGATCCTATAATGGAGATTTTGGTTAACCAGAAAAGGGAACTACAATGGGGACTATAGGTACGACCAGTGCTTCTGCAAGCCAGCTCAGAACCCGCAAACTTCTCATAACACACTAAGCCCACGAAGCCTTAAACCGTTACAAACCACTGAACCCTTTGAGCCGGAAAAACAAACCCTAAACCCCTGAACCCCTAAACCCTTAAAACCCCATAGATCTCTTTAAGGCAACCTTTATGGATTCCTGAAAAAAGAACCCCTATGGATCCCAACACCAAAAACTGAGGCGTAGGCACCGCATCAATCCGGTTCGTGGGCCCCGTCTTGGGATCCCAGTCCCTTCATTCGGCTCCTGCTTTCAAGCTGGAGGAGTCCTTTAAGGGTTCCCTTTAATGGGATCCATAATTACGGTTCCTATAAGGGCTTAAGACAGGGGCCGTAATAATTAGCACAGGGTTTTGATGCCCATTTTACTGTAGTTATAATAAGGAACCTCCCCAAAATAGTATTGGTAATTATTTAGGCCCCTATATTAGGGCCTGAGGCCTTTGTTTGCACAGGGAAAATCATGCATCGCGCAGCCCAGGTTGAAGTTGTCATTTGGCTCCTTCTTAGACGGCTTCGGGTTCAGGTCAGAAGAGAGAACAAGCGGGCCCCAGCAAGCCACACGAAAGGAAGGATCCCGTATCGTCCGTGGCAGAAGAAATCAATCTCAAAATCCCGGAACGCCTCCCAACCCTTGACCTTAAGTCTAAGACCTGCGCGCTCCATTCTAGACCCCTTGACTGCTTCCAGGACCCTTTAGGAGGCCCTTATCATGTGTCTTCTACGTCTGCTGCTTCATACTGTCATCATTGTTGGCACTACTATGATCACGCTTGAAGGCGCAATCCTTTGATTGACAACGCTGCCAACTATCTACTGCGTTGGGCATACCATGATACCATTTCTCTTATCATCTGTTTTGGTATTACTACATTGTCACTGTTACTCTGTCATATCACTGTCATTATCATTGCTGTGACTATGACTATGATGATTCTGGCTACTCTGGTCAGAGCAGGGCGTGGTGGCTTTAACACAGCGTTCGTACGGAGGGCTTTACGGGGAGACAGTCGGCAGAATAGTAAGCCAAAAGTTGCAGCATCTTTTTGACATACTTCTGTTTGCAGTCGAGATCGAGATCGTCGTAGTCAAAGGAAGTATTTAAAGGCGCTTTTCAGGTAAGACCCATGTTGGTGACCTGCCAGTCAGTAGCAAGCGGACACACGTATGAATCAAAAACGAACCTCATACTTACAGCAGAACATGACGCCTTGGACGTCCCTTTCATGAATGCGGCTCTTGCTCTTGTTGTGATTGTTGTTGGGATGACTAGATGCTGTTACTAGGACACGAGAAACAGCGAACGCTGAAGTCCTTCTCGTTCTCAAAAGCGGGAGGAGTGCCTCGCGCCATGGCTTCAGGCTCTAGGGCTTTGTAAGGGCTTTTCGAATTTACAGAAACTAGCCCTAAACCCTAAATCCTACACCTCAAGTAGCACGGGTTTTACGGCGATTGGGGGTTAAGGGTGTTTCCCAAACACGTAGAGCACTGAATCCCTAAGCCCCAGAACGCCCCAAAACCTCAAAATAATCCCCAAACCCCAAACCCCTAAACCCTAAACCCCTAAAGCCCTAAAGCCCCAAAGCCCTAGACTCTAAACCGCAAAACCCTAAACACCTCGCCTCTGTTTCTTCTCACTCATCCAGTGACGCGAGAAGTCCTGGATCTCTGCCTGACAGGCAAGGCACTTGGAGGATCATGGGACTTAGTAAGTAAGGGATCCTTAAAAGGGCTCCTTCAAGGGATCTATAGGGTTCCTTAAAAGGGATCTATAGGGTTTAGGGTTTAGGGTCTACTTGGAGGATCATGGGACTTAGTAAGTAGGGTTATAATTGCCTTAATTGGGGTTATAAGTACTTATAAGTATAGTTACCTTATTTATAACCCCACTTACTAAGTCCCATGATCCTTTAAGCAGCCTCAAAACAGCTTCACAAGTGGGAGTTGGGATTCGGGGGGACCCTGGGGGACAGAAACCCTCGCAATAAGGCCCAAGAAAGCCGGAAGAAAGGTCCCCTTTACAGTGCTTGGAGGCCCTTTTGACTTAGTAAGTAGGGTTAGTAAGGTGGGTTATGGGGATTATAATAGGGTTTCTGGGGGATACTAAGTAGACTTACTAAGTCAACAGGGCCTCCAAGTGAACCCCATAAAGTTGGAAACCGGATTAAGGCCAATTACATAGTGCTGGGATTCCCTATACATTGCTCTTAAGGGCTGAGGCCATTGGGTTTCCAACTTTTGGGCTTCTACTGCAAGGGGACTTTATAGGGCTCTGCAGGGATCTTTGGGATATTAGAAGGGGTTCTGTAGGGCTTGAACAAAGGCTTTGTCAAGCTTGTTTGTAATTGAGACAGCTCGTAACCTGAAATGAAACCCCACATCTAAGCCCTGAGCCCAGAGTGCTGGCCGCCGGTTCCTACAGTCGGCTATCCGACAGCTGTCAAGAATATACGGCGACAAAAAAACTATAAAACAAAGAAAAAGACAAATTCAAAACACGAAACCCCTCAACCCATGGTATTGAAAACCATGCGCTTCAAAATTAAGAGACCAAGGGTCCCCTCGAGAAAAAAGCTGTTTCGTCGCCGTAGACAGAAGATAGGTAGACAGATGGGTAGATATATAGATAGACAGATACATAAGTAGATAGGAAAGATAGATAGCAGTAGGTATATAAGCTGACGTGGCATACATATATATATATATATATATATACATATATATAATTATATATATATCTATGCATACATACATGCAAACATACATACATACATACATACTATGTATATATACACACTGCATATACGGATATGTATATGCACATACATACACAAACTGCATGTCTTGTATATCCGTGTTTACATATATGTGTCGACACATGTGTCTGTGTATGCAAATCATGTCTGTAACATGCATACACTTCCTTGACAAACATAGAAAACAACACAATGAAGCACGCCAACTTTGGAATCCCAAACGTCGTTCCTGAGTTCGTTGATGATCTATGCTGTACATTGTTCTATCTGCACCTAGCTGTGTAGACCAGAGACCCTAATCCTCAAACCCTTGACCCGAAACCCCAAATCCTACACAAATGTTGCACATTGCTCGTTGAAATTATGGTCCCTGTTCGGGTCCTTAATATAATACGGCACCTATTATCTAGGGTACCCAAGAAGGGACCACAATTTTGACAACCACCCACATGTTTGCAAGACGAGCGGCCGCGAGGTTGGCCGAGTTCTCCACGCTCCTCGGCAGCCCCCAACCACGAGAAGCTTCGTTCACAGATTCGCAGCAAAGGAGCTTAGGGCTACGGGTTGAGGATGGTTTAGGGCTTCCGGCTTAGAGTTTAGGTTCGTGTGTGATGGTTTAGGGCTTCCGGCTTGGAGTTTAAGTTCGTGGGCTTGACTGAGGTTTAATCGAATAGCCAGAATCATTAATCATGCGGCTATGTGCGGTGAGACGTGCTCATACGTGCCCATGAACCGCGGCGCATGGCTGGTGCAGCTTAGGTTCAGCACGCCGTGCCGATCACCAGGAACTTCAACGACATTCAGGCTGGTGCAATACCTGATCGCAGTTCCAGTAAGAATGGAATCACTATGCCTGAGCGCCTCGTTTGCTCAATCGTTGACGGTGGGTGAAACTGCTCGAAATCAAGCAAGGAAAACATGCCGCCATCAGGCCGAGTTGCAAGCTAGTAATTGTCCTAAGGTGCTCCAGTTCCTCCGACGGGCAGTCTTTGGCCAAGACCAGCAGCGTTGGCCCATCAAAGGTCTCAAGAGAGCAGCTATCAGCTCCTACTTCCATCATCCAGTCCTCAGTTTTGGCCGACTTAGGCTTTGGCCTCAGGGTTTAGGGTTGAAGGCTTTTAGTTTGGGGTTTAGGGTTTAGGGTTTTCAGTTTGGGGTTTAAGGCTAGAGTTTGGGTTTAGAGTTTGAGGTTTGGCAAGAGTTCAGCTCGAGCCTGCTTGTCAAAGAACCCTCGGACATTAGGCTGCGATCCTTGTAAGTAAGGTTATAAGTATGGTAACTATAAGGGTTTAGGGTTAGGTTGCAGGGTTCAGGGTTTAGGGTTACTATAAGGATCCTGCTAGGTTGGGTTCTACCTTGGGGGCGTGTAGCGTTCAGGCTTTCTGACACTCTCACTCAATGTCGCTAGGGACATCTTGTCTGTAACGAGCCACATTTGTGGATTCCTGCGGCAGTCTGGTGCTTCCTCTCTCCGACCTGAGTGGGACCCTTGCGAACCTCCACTGACGCAGCTGAGGCTCTATTCGCTTCGCCTCGGTTCGCAAACTGCGAGGTATGCAACACATCGTGAGGTTAATTGATATAAACGATACAAACAAAATATTGAAACCTCAAAACCCTAAACCCTAAATTGCAGCAAAAAGAGACGCGGCCGAGAGGCCGTCCTCTGAACCAGGGACTTGAACCCATCCACTGACATTCCACTCAAGCTCTCTGACAGTTTCCAGTAAGCTTTCATCACCAGCTTCTTTGATGCTTTCTCCAAGGCCGAGCGCACGATCTCTCCTGGCGCCACAGGGGGGCGAGCCCTGCTGAAAGATTCACGGGCAGTTTCAATTGAAAAAAGCATGGTTACTACACGTAACCGTGGTAGTATATCATTGATATATATATATATATATATATATATATATATGTACAAACGAACATATATATATATATATATACATCGAAAACCAGAGCGAGGATCACCTTCGTTTTTCGTCCTGCCGGGTTGCGTGCTTGCTTAATCTGTGTAGCATCCTAGTTGTACAGGTACTGTGAGGAGGAGATACGACTACTTGCTATTCGGAGCCTCTTACCACCAGCCTGGCCGGCTTTCCGCGCGTGGAACATGCACACACCCTCTAGGCAACCTGCGGTGCGCGTCCTTCCGATTGAAAACACGCTGAAACCATACAACCCTGCACCCTCAATCCCAAAGCCTAGACCCTACAGCCAAACCCACAACCCTGAACCCCACACCTTAAACCCTAATCCCAAACCCCGCCTCCCCCCCCCCCAACCTTCCACAAAAAAAACAGAAAGGGTTCTCTTCTTCCCCTTCCGCTCAGGCACCAGTGCACTCCGCTAGTCTTTCCGAGCCATCATAGGCGGATTGGCAGGCCACCTGCAGCTGGCCTGCGCTCTGGGACAAGGGGCTTTAAGGTTTAGGGGTTTAGGGTTCAGGCGCTTAGGGTTTAGGGGATTTTTTATCGGTTTAGGGGTTCATTTAGTAGAGGGGTTTAGGGTTTGGGGGTTTAAGGTTTATAATTATAGAGCCATAGTGGACTCTGGATACTTGAGACGATCTCAAAGTTTGTAAGCCGGGAACGCATCCTGTTCCGCCCCTACAACATGGGACTTCCTCGATGTGCAGCCTTGCCTATTCAACCCCAAGGGTCCATGTGCCCAAAGGGTATGTACTTTGGTCTTAAAATTACCACCTTTTCAGGTAGTTTAAAACCAAAGCATATACTATTTGGGTACATGTACCCTTATAGGGGTAGGCATGTCGTAGTCGGATGCAAGACCCGGTCCGGGCCACCACCCTAAACCCTTACAGAACGCCTAGAAGCATTATAGAACACTACCCAGAGACTCCAATATCCCTTAATTAAGGGGTAAGTATATTCCCTAGTTAAGGGATATTGGAGTCTCTGGGTACACACCCCAGTTAAGACTTGAATGAACCCTCGTCTCCAGCAAGACAAAGCTCTTGCAGTGGCCGAGATGGGTATATCAGGACGAAACACAGAAAAGTTTATCCAGGGCTCGACAAACCCTAAGCCCTAGAGAGTCCCTAACTGTAAATCCTAACCGCTAAAGCCGAATGACCAAATTTGTAGGCTTTGACTTCGTAGAACCCTAAACCCTAAACCGCTAAACCCCAAACCCCTAAACCTCTAAACCCCTAAACCCTAAACTCTAAACCCCTAACCCCTAAACTCTAAACCCCTAAAACCCCTAAACCCTAAACTCTAAACCCCTAAAACCCCTAAACCCTAAACTCGAAACCCCTAGACCCGAAACTCTAAGCCCTGAAGAGGAGCCTTTGAGTTCGTAGGGGTCATCCTCCTGCAGCTGCCTCGGCTGATGCCAGATCTCAAGTCTGCGGTGTTGCGCTCGAATTCGTGGTTCAGGGTTTCGAGGTTTAGGGGTTCAGGGTTTAGGGGTTTAGGGGTTTAGGGTTCAGGGGTTTAGGGTTAAGGGTTTTAGGGTTTGGGGGCTAGGGGTTTAGGGCTTAGGACGTTCATGATGAACTACACCACAGCCAGCCTATGCAGAATGGTTGAACAAACGACACCTGACAGGCTAGAAGCCCGAAAACCTCTCAACCCGAAACCAGGCCTGAAAACCAGAACCCCAAACTATAAATCATAAACTCAACCCCCAGGTAATAAACCCTGGGCCCCCGACCCCCAAATTGCTCCAAGCGACCACAAGGAGTGCGCCTCCTTGCTGGCGAAGTCTGCAGCGCCCAGGCACCGGGCGATAAGCAGCGTGGCCTCCGGAGGATGGCTCTTGGTGCTTTGGGCTTTGATGTTGCGGAATTAGGAGCTTGGGGGGTTGGGTTTCGGATACCTGGAATGGCGAGAGGGGGGGGGGTGCGGGGCACGGCTTCGAGTTCAAGGCTTTGGCTATAGAACAGAGCTGCAGCTTCAGATGTGGTTTAGGACATCGGATTTGCCGCTCGGGGTTCTAAGTTTGTGGCTGCGACTTCTTGCAGGGGGAAGGGAAGGGGAGGGAGGGAGCGGAGACAGAGAGAGAGGGAGAGAGGGGGAGAGGGGGAGAGGGGGAGAGGGAGAGAGGGAGAGAGGAAGAGGCACCCTAAACCCTAAAGAACGGCAGCCTCACAAGTGCTCCCGAGCCAGCTCGCGCTGAAGCAGCGGTCGGGCACAGGGCCGCCAGACCATGCGACTTCGCCTGCCGGCGAGCAGGTTTTCTACAGGGTGTTGCTGTCATTCTGGGGTTTCTTTGGGTCTCTGCAGTGTGTTTATCACAGGGCTTCGAGAGTTACGTAATGTCTCTCATACCTTGCAGAAACCTAACCGAAGGTTCTGTGCTTGGGTCTGGCACTTGGGCTGAGGGCTCACGGTTAGGGTTTAGGGCTTTGCTCGGAGCTTGGGTTCTGCCCCTCTTGCCATCCCTTCTACACCAAAACTGCCAAAACTGGCATCCCTACCTCGCTCGACCACGAATACGACCTCCAGGATATCATCGCCCTTTACCATAAAATCACGGCTTACGAGCCGCACCCTCTAATGATTCTAATGTGTTGGGAAGACTTGCAGCCACCGACCGATTCCTTCCATATCAACATGAAGACGGTTCTGACGGAAAGGATATACGGTTCAGGGCGTAGAATTGTGGTAGTAGTAGAGATGCGGTAACAGTACGGGTACAACACTGGCAGGAGCTACTTGTGCTTTGGAAAACAACACGAAAACACGAATCAAAATTAGACTGGGAGCAGTATAAGGCACTGAGTAACTACCCATGTTATTTCGCAGGGCTCCTCACCATAAGTGTAGTACCATGGCCCCCAAAACCCAGTTCTAACTATCCAGGCTCCTGCAATACTGCCTCGGCTTGCCTTAGGCAGTATAAGGCTCGTGTGATCTGCCCGCCTTGGATAACAACCAGCGCGACCTGCAACTACGGGAGTTACGTTGCCGAAACCCTTTGGGTTTAGGGTTGATGGTGTATACTACTATAGGGGCCTTAAGGGTCCTTATTAAGGGTTCAGGGTTTGGGGTTTTGGATAATACAGGGTTTAGGTTTAGGTTTAGGCTTAGGGACACACGAACTAGGATGCGTAGCAATCTAGGCATCCTTTTTTGGTATTGGGTGATAAGCAAAGAAACCCAGGGCCACGAAAAGAGAAAAAAGGGCGCACTGGAACACAGCCCCTGCGAGGCCACTCGAGGGATGATACTTGACTTACGCCACAGACCCACGCATGCGAATCTTTGTGACCTCACTTTCGTAACTACGCAGGTCTTTTCAAATTTCTTCAACAAAGATGGTCCCTGGTCCCTGGAGTTTGTCGTTGGGGAGTTTAGGGGTTAGGTCAATTCCTGCCTCTTGCCGCAGATCGCCAGATGTGCACGCAGAACCCTACGGATATTGCCACTAGGTGCATTACAAGGTGTGTCTCGACGTGTGCGACGTACATGCGTCCCGACACATATGCGTGTGTGTGTGTGTACATACGGACTTTTCCAGTCTCATTAAAGCCTTTACTTGCACAAAAAAATAAACGGCTCTATTAATTTATGTGTCTCTCTATGATCGTGTTTGCTCCTTTACTCCAGCACGCCATGTTCTCCGGCTAACTGCTCGACTGCTTTTGTGTTTATGTCTATCGCTGTCGACATTCATTGCAGTCATGTTCCTATGTGAAGTCTTGTTACTTACTCTTTATCCTGACATCTAGCTCCGCAATTCTTGGCAATTTCTTTATGCCGCAAGTTATGCCGTTTCCGGTGTCGGGTTGTCGTGATGCAATTTCCTGTTGCATTGTCTAGGTATGAATCACTTTTGTTGTCTGGCAGCTACCAAGGTAGTAGCAGTCGTCGTGCAATCTTGCACGAGGCATGCATGAACATCCAGGTCTGTGGGTGTGTACTATACATATACATTTGCAGGCCAATGTGTGTGTGTGTGTGTGTGCATATATAATAACATATATATATATATATGTAAATGAATCAGTGTGCGCTTAAGGTTTAGGGTTCAGGGTGCCTCGACATCGGCTTCCTGAAGCTGCATCGCCATCTCAAAAGCGAGAGAGGCACCAGTCACGTGGCCCACCAGCACTACCTGACATAGAACCATGGTTGCTACTCGCGGTAGCAGTAGAAATAGCACCAGCAGTAGCATTAGCAGTGGGAGTTGGAGTGGGAGTCGGGGTTGCTTGTCGGATTGCGAGTGGAGTATGAGTAGGAAGAATGATCAAGATTACCAGGATTGCCCCCAACACCCCCACCCCCCTCAAGGGGTGCAAGCAGTCAAGACTTCAAGTTTGCGAGCTTAGCAAGATTGACGTCAAAAAAGCGGCTCTTAATGCCCGCACATATAAGGTCTTGGGTTGTGCATAGAGCTTGTGCATTTTTGTGACCTGCCTTCCTTCCAAGATCTTTGGGTCGAAATTCCTCGGAATCCTCCTCCTCAGAGTCGTGCAGGCCGTTGGGCATGCCGTTGAGCACCTTGGGTTGTTGCTGGGTGATTGCCATGCTGTGTTTACCCGTCTTCCTTCTGAGTGTCATGATGACAGTGATGCTATGCTGAGAATACATGCTTCCTATGATGCAGATTGTTGATGTCCCAGACGTAGAGAACTGTGTTCGCAGCTCATAATCATGTCTTTACAGCTATGACGCACACAAAGAATGCCAAACCCGTGCTTGATTCCATTACTGCACATAGTAATTTTGTCTTAAGCTTTCGACTAGCCGACTGCGTCCATCATCAACGTCGCTTTATGGCTAGAACTGGTAATGCCAAAATTGCCCATCTTAGATCTTCTGACTCCAAAAACAACTACGTACACCATACTACCTGTTGAACCCCTCTGCCCGGTAAATCCTTAACCCCAAGCGGAAACCCAAATCCCCAAGTCCGTGAACCCTGAACCATACAGCTATGGACCCGAAAGCCGGAAAACACCAGAATCAGTAGAGCCCCAACCGGTAGGGTTTAGGGTTTAGGGTTTTAGGGTTTAGGGTTTTAGGGTTTAGGAGTTTAGGGGTTTAGGGGTTAGGGTTTAGGGGTTTAGGGGGTAACATCCGAAAAGCCACACTCAAATGAAGCCCACGTCCTGCGACTTTCAACTGACCTCGGCTGCCCACCGTCGCTTCGGCCGTGACCGCAAGGGGCTCCAAGAGCTTGCTTTGGCGCTGATCCTACAAGGCGTGCAAGGTCCCAGAGAGCCCAATACCCCTTAATTAAGGAAGATAGCTTACTGTAAATCAAAATACGAAGCCACTCATAATTTAAGCCATCTTCCAAAAATTCAGGGGTATTGGGCTCTCTGGGTTGCTGAGATCTGAGATGGTACGTATGTGTAGAAATATAGGTAGACAGACGACAAACAAAAAGAAAGATAGATGCCGAGTGTGGATATAGATATGGGTACAGATATTGCAATGGAAATAGTTCTGGATATAGGTATACACATGTAGATACAGATACAGGGAGAGCTAGAGAAATAAGACGTAACCATATGAAGATGTGCCAGTACACATGCAACCATCCATCCATCCGTCCATCCATCCATCCTTCCATCCATCCACATCCATCCATCCACCCACCCATGCATGCACACATGCACGCAGACATACATACATGCATGTGTGTACTTTTATATACTGGTTTACGTGGCAGTATCGATACGTAGCAATGTTGAAAGCTTTTGGAGTTAGGGCTTGGATGGTTTAGGGCTATAGGGTCTTGAGTTTTGGGCTTGAAGGTCAAAGGTGCTTGCGCAGGATTGATATGCAATATAGAAAGGTTCTTCTACCCTGCAGGCCTTAGAATGAGAGTAGTAGTAGGATGCTGGCATTAAGGATTGGCATTGTCGCACCGGCCTGAAGAACCCGCCGCGCGAAGAGGGTCGCAACGTCGGACAAAGACGTCCGCCGCATGGCCTCCCAAACACGAGAAGGAGTCAGGAGAGCATGTGTCGGTTCATCACGAAGTGCTACCGTCTAACCCAAATCTGCAGACTCTTTCATGGTGTTGCTCAAGATTCCGAATGGCTCGATCGGGCACTTGACAGGCCTCCTCGTCAAACTCAAGCTGGCATGTATTGCAGTTTGTGAAACCCTGTGCCAGGGTTGCCAAATGGCCAAACTCGCCACCATCGCATCCTGCAGCGCAATCACAGCAAATCAGTCAGTACACCCCAACGAGCGCACCGCACTGCAAGTTGACACCAACACTCTCAACACCAACACTCTCAACTCTAAACCGACAAACACAAGAAACAAACCGGTTGGTGTTCACCATCGCGAAGTATCATGATCGTCGCTGTGACCGTTTCTCATTGTTGTGGGAGTCTCCAGAAACCTTAGGAAAACGAGATCCCACACCATAAACCCTCCCAGAAAATCTTCAAACTGGATTGCTTCAGATTCAGACCAGAAATCAAATCGAAACTCCTATACCAAACTAACATGTGGGTAGTTGTCAAAATGATGGCCCCTGTTTGGGTACCCTAAATAAGAGGTGCCGTATTATAACAGGGACCCAAAACGGAACCATAATCACATGTACAAGCAGCAGCAAGCAGCTCCTGGTATCAGGTACACGCTGGGGACGTCCGGAAGCGTCAGTGCAGATTCAGTCTCCGGCTCAGCCACCCTGAGGGGGGTGGCAGGTGAATAAATCTTGGAGCATGCCTATAGCCCTACGGATCAAAACAGCCCAAACGCCCTTGTATAGTATGGTCTTTGGGCACAAAAGCCTTAATATAGGAGTCCTTAGATCCCTAGGGTAGTAGCCTTATAGATCCCTAACAAGGACCCGTACTTAAGGACGTACTTGCTAAATAGCTGTTGCTCCTTATAAGTATAAAGAATTCCATACGGGCTCTATAATCTATAATTAAGGGCTGTAATAGAAGGGATGTTAGAGCAGCTTCTGATACAGGACCTGCATAGTCGGAATAGGCTCTGGGGGTGTTATACTGTACTATACTATATCATGGAATGCTTGCGTACCCAGACCTTCCAAAATGCCTTAATTGAGGCATATACCTTCATTCAAAAGAGGGATCCTATTATAATCTAAAATATATTCCTTAATTAAGGGATTTTGGAAGGTCTGGGTATAGTGTTACCCATCATTACCACCTCTATATTACCCGGAATGTCTGCCCCTAAAGTCTAAGCGCCCTCAACTGAGGAATCTCGAGTTGATTTTGGGTGCAGAGGTGCCTTAGGAACATCCCTGAAGATGCAGGACGCATAAACTCTCGTCACTCTTGCGGCAGAGCATGGATGCGTACGCACGGAGAAGTTTAGCAGTCATTGCAACAGTGGCGGTCACAATGATACAAGCGGCAAGTATTAGGAACAATTCTTACAACTTCTGTTAAACAGGACGACAGTTGGCAATAGCAAAAATATGCTAGCAGAGTCGTGATTGCAAGGACAACGGAAACTGCAAGATTTATCCTGATGCCGCCTTATACCCCATAGTTGGGGAATATACACCATAGTAACCCTTGTAATACCCCTGCAAGAACCCTTATGCATCCCAAAGGAACCTAAGCCCCAAACACTAAACCCAAACCCCCATAGGCCTAAACCCTTACCTACCTGAACTTCAAGTAAACTACCGTTTTAGGCCTCATAGAAACCCTCAATACGGCCGCCTCGCACTGTTACCGGCAAGGGCAAGGAGACCCGGGACGGGCAGTCTGTCCTTCAGCGCGGAGAAGTTTAGGGTTTAGGGTTGTAGGTTTTCGGGGTTTAGAGGTTTAGGGTCTAGGACCAAATAAGCTGAAGAGTACACAAAAGAAAAATGTTGATAATATTGGCTAGCTGGTAAGGACTTTGGCGTTTAGGTCAGTACGGATAAGGGCTTGGGGTCTTGCTTGACTTCAGAAATTTAAGCCTCGAAGCGCTATGGCCCTATGCCCCAAAACCTTGAACCCTCACATCTACAAGAAGTATAAAACAAGAAATCAATAACACTTGAAGTTGCTTACAACGTGAAACAGTATAGTTAACAAAAATGCCAGAGCTTATTGTAACAATTACCATCACAACGATGACTACGCCTGCGGCCACGACTGCTACCGCTACCGCGACTACTACTGCCTCTGCGACTGCTGGAAGAACTACTACTACTACTACTACTACTACTACTACTACTACTGCTACTACTCCTACTACTACTCCTACTACTACTACTACTACTACCACTACTACTACTACTCTGCTGCTGCAACCACGACCACTACCACTTCCACGTCCACTCCCTCCAATATGACGACGACAACGACGACGACTACTACTTCTACTAGTGGTAGTAGCACTACCACTACCACTACCACTGCCGCTACCACCACCACCAATATGACTGCTGTTACTACTACTACTGCTACTACTACTACTACTACTACCACTACTACTACTCCTACTGATACTACTACTACTACTACTACTACTACTACTACTACTACTACTACTACTACTGCTACTACTGCTACTACTGCTACTACTGCTACTACTGCTGCTACTGCTACTGCTACTGCTTCTACTACTGCTGCTGCTAAGCATCTGGGCTCGAACGAAGACAGTCCGTGTGTGTGTGTGTGAGTGTAGAAGTAGGCTGCAGGATGGTACTTGCACACCTTCTCCTCCTGGCCTGCCTTCTCTCTCCCAATCCTTTTCCACCCCATCCGCAAGCCGCTGGGACCAAATCTCCGCCCGTGGCCGACTTGCCCTGGCCTGAGAGGTGCGAGCCTCAGCTGGTACTGCTACCCTGCACATGGAGCAACAGCCAGGACCTGCCGTCCCTTCTCAGCGCTCCTGCCGATACTTGCAGGCTCAAGCTACTGCCTAGTGTCAGCATACCGGCCCCTGCTGTGTCCAGAGGCCCTGCAAAACCATGTCGCGGCCAACCTCAGACCAACCTGCGGCACCATCAGGATCGCCTCCACCCACGGAGCAGGTCAACCTTGCCGAGACGCTGGCCAGCTTGCATCAGACCCTGGACAACACGATCGTCCGAGAACGCTACAGGGCAGGGCTGCACCATCAGGTCTGGAACACCAATAACTGGGACCGCATCGGATCAGCGACTGCATTGCGCCCTGGTCCCCTGCCGACCACTGACGAGCCCCAGAGCTGTCAGAAGCCTCAGGCCCAGCCGGGCTCTCCGGACTCCATTGACACGGCGGATCTCATGGCAGCTGCTGAAGAAGCGGAGCGGACTCTTGCTTCCCTGGCCAAGCCCTCCAGCTCTAAGGATCCAAGGCGCCCTCGATCGAGATCCCGCTCTCCTGTCGGTACGGAGACCACACCAAAGGCACCAGGCTCCCTCCCTTCTACAGACAAGTCTTGATGGAAGCCGTTTCAGCCAAGTTGCCCAGCAGTGCAGCACCGACTTGATACTGGCCACAGCAAAAGATCGATACTGGCTTGCGCTCACGACCTGTGCTCTTGGCCCTACTAACACCCATCCCCACTTGTCCTGCCCCTGTACTGGCCCAGGTGACCCTACCACGAGGACTACACTGCCCGTGACTCACACCGAGCACTATGTCCGCAGTCATTCCCTCACCTCTGCCCGTGCACCCAGGCTAGAGGGGTCCTCGCCTGCGGTGGCCTGTCCCTCGGCACCTGCTTCCATGGACGCCGATGTGACCGCCCCACGCGATGCTCAGGCGCAAGCTCTCGCCGAGCCGGCGCCTCACTGTCACTGCCCTGACCCATCTGCTAGAGTCTTCCGACACATGTCGACTCTCTCCTGCCGCAACTGCCTGGCGCCGTTCCTGACGGACCTTCAGGCCTGCCTACCTCCGTCGACCACACAGGCCCTCTCATCGAGCAGGCCACCGCCACTGCCTACAGCCAGCGTTGCTCCTCTGTCTTGTTGTGACCGGCCTCTGACGCAGCTGGGTACCTCTCAAACAGGAAACCAGCCCTGGTCCCCTATAGACCTGACATTCAGGGCCCCTGACGGGATGCCGCGGTCAGACAGCAAGCGGCGACGTGATCAGTCCCGACCTGGCAGGCTGAACCGTCTGTACACTCAGGAGTGTGAAGCTGTTCGACACCCACGAGAAGCTGCACCTCCGCCCTGCACCATCTACTCCGAGGCGTTCTATCATCGTTCTCCAGGCTGGATGCAGCGCTTACATGAGCAGCTTATGCAAGAACAGCAGCCAGACAGCAGAGACCTGGAACCAAGGCCAGAGACGGCCCCAATTCGCCTGAGGTCCGCGGGCCGTTCCAGACCGGGCACCTCGCCGACGAGACTGACTCGCAGCCGGCGCTCTTCCTCGCGTTCCCGACGGCCGCCCAGCACGAAGCCCAGGCGCAGACCCCGGTCTCGAAGCCCTGCGAACAGGCCACCTCCTTCCAAGCCAGCGCGGCCCCAGGGCACACCGTCGCCGCCTAAGAAGCCACGCCGGAATACAGCTCCCAACGGCACCACTGTCCAACAGAAGGATTCCCCTCGGAAAAGAGCCTCCCCCTCTCGACAAGTTGACCGGCCCTCGACGAGACCAAGAGCAGTGAATCCAGGTCCCCCTGTCATGCCCCCAGCCCTCTATAGACAACACCGGGCAGACCAAGGCCGACCACTGGAGGACGACAGCTACTCCTACTACTCTGACTCAGAGCCAGCCACACCCAGGCAGTGTCAACCGACCCACCGAGGTCCAGAACGGGCACCACCTGCCCCGGCTGTAACCGGAAGCCCCCTCGAAGCGGGAGAGCTCATCACCAAACTCCTCCAGCCCGCCACCACGGGCAGCCGGCCCTCGCGACCTCGCTCCTCCAGCTCAGCCAAGAGCCGTGCCAAAGCATGCCGATACCTCAGCTCTGTCCTGCTGCAGCCACTCTGTTTCCACTACCACTGCAGTGATCCTTGGTGCAGGACTGTGACCAGAGCCCGCCCTCATCCACTACAGTGTGAGGCTTCTCTCGTAAGGACCCGAGCTCAGCTAGGACCAGGCATGCAGAGAAAAACTAGCCTGGCGTGCGGGCATCACCTGCCGAGACATCCATGCTTAGAGCCAACTCCCTCTACCCACGATCCCGCAGGGAGCCCTCAGCGACTGCAGCGACTGCAGCCTTCACCTTGCCAGCCTAGACGCTGGTTCCTCTGCAGCCGCCCCAGCAGCACAGTGCACTATTACATCCTTGTGCTCAGAGCCACCCGAGGAATCACGGTAGCTGCTGTGGCTCGAGACCGCCTAGACTCTGTAGGCCAGCCCGGCAACAGGCGGAAGGCCCCATGGCACCGAGGAATCAGCGAGGCCGTGGCAGAGGCAGGGGCTCAGCAGCTTCCTCAGCAAAGGCTAAGCCCGCTGCGGCGGAGAGCACTAGTGAGCCGACGTCTCCCAGCAGCCCTGACTCACCAGATGCGCCGGCAGACTCCAGTGCCGCGCCACGAGGTCCGCCACCTCCGGTTCCTGTCAACCGGCCGAGAAGCAGATCCCCGGCTCCAGTGGGTCCTGCGACTACGGCAGCTCCGCCGACAACCGCCGAGGCCTCGCCGGCCCCACCGCTGCCATGGGCTACCCCTGCAGGAGCCATGGCTCCCCTACCAGCAGCTGTGCCAACGGACCCGCCAGGCCCACTTACGACTAACAGTCCCCCGAGCGGACCGCCACTGCCTACACCAGCGACGAGCTATGGAGACCACCTGCGGGAGGATGCGGACCTGTCAGCCCTGGCCCCTCTAACCCGGGACCCAGACCTCCGTCTCGACCGATCCGAGCAGCTGCCCCCACTTCCACCACTACCACGGTCCACACTCAAGGACGGACAATTACGAGCCATATCCGCCCCAGTGGGCCCAATGGACCTGGATCTGGATCTGGTGGTCCCTAGAAAGAGCAGTGCAGCAGAACCTCTTCCACAGCATCCTCGACATGACTACTGGCCTCAGGTACTGCCTCCTTGGCGTGCTCTTCTTCCGGTTCACCCGGACGTCATCCACTGTCCAAGCCGGCGGAAAAATTACTGCACTGCCGTTCACAGGCACCCTACTAGCAGCAATAGTTGCAGTGCTCAGCCTTCTCACTCTGAGCCATCCGGGTCGACCACAACCAAAGCATGCCGTACTGAGGTTGGCACCGCCCTCGTCTCCTGCCACGACAGGGGCCCCAGCCGGAGCTGCACGCGAAACTTGTGTCCTAGCTGGCACTGTGCCACCGAAGGTGGCTCTCCAGCGGCATGCCCGGTGTGCCTGCCTCCACCACACTCGTTGCTGCAACCGTGCCATGCGGCGACACTGCCTTACTTGCCCCAGTGCAGGTACCTTCTCCAAGCACGACGCAGCCGAAGGAAATACGTGCCCTCCTCCGGCACCAGACTTGCTGCGGCCTCGGATCCCAGGTTACTGCATGCTACGCCGGTTGCTGCAGCTGACTGCCATTGTTGCCAGCAGCGCCTCACTTGAAGATGCCTGTTCTCTGAGCTGCTCACAGCAGAACAGCATGGCACACGTCCAGGGAGCAGCACAGGCTCCAAGGGAGGACCAATTCCCCCCCACCCCGGTGCAAAGCTTGACTCATAGCCCCATGCTAGGCACTCCTAGACAGGCCCAGGCTTGCATTAGTCCCAGGCGCCCTGCCATTGCCTCGTGTAGCGTGAGCAACCCGCCGTGTGCACAATGGTTCCGATCAACCCTCGGTGGCTACTCCGTCCTCGCGGACGACAAGGACAATGCCCACTCAGGAGGGC